GGAGTCGTAATTTCTTGTATCAACTAATTTGGATTTTTCTCTACAGAATCTGCCACTGGAAAAAAAATATAAAAAATATTAAAAAACAGAGAGGAATTTACTTTATTATATATATATTTTTTCAGAATAAAAAAAATCGCTAATTATAGATATAATGCGTGGTAAATTTGCATCGAAAATACAAGGCTACAATAAGGCAGTCGGGTTGGGAATAATGGGAACGGGAATTCCCGTTCCCATCCCGATTCTAACTGTAGTTAGTTTAGTGCGTCCATAAATGGTTAGCGCTGTCAATCTTTGGGAAATGTGGGAAATTCCCGACCCTTCCCGGTGGGAAATGGGAATGGGAATGGGAAAAAAATTTTCTTCCCAACCCGCATGCGGGTTGGGACTAAGGTGCCCATTTCCCTACCCTACCCGACCCGAATGCAACTCTACATACAAAGCTTGATGGGTTATCCTTGGAAATCTTGTTGAGAAAGATGATATGCAATATGACTACTGCAAATATGCCCCAGTGGTCTCTGCAGCCATTACCCAACTGCTATTCACATTGGCCGCTGCCAATGGATGGCATATATGAAAGCTTGACATTGCAGTCGCCTTCCTGAATGGTGATTTGATTGATGAAATCTATATGTGTCAACCAACTGGTTTTGAGCAAGGCGAAGGTCTAGCCTGGCAGCTAAAGAAGTCAATATATGGACTTACTCCAGCAGCCTGCATATGGTATGACACACTTACTGCCACTCTCCATAGACTAGGCTTTCAGACATGCTCATATGACCCTGGTCTATTCATCCATCAACAATGAAAGCACCTTTATATCACCACCCACGTTGATGACTTCCAGCTCGTAGCTGAGTGAGCTGATGATATTGAATGGACAAAGAATGCCCTAGCCAAAGAATGGGAGATAAAAGATGTCAGTGATATGACGTACTATCTTGGCATGGAAGTTGAATTCAAGAATGGATGTATTCACCTCAATCAATGCAAATATATCAAGGATCTTGTCCAGTCATTTGGACTAGAGAACTCCCACTCCCAAACCACACCTCTACTGAGCAGTCTAGTGATAGATGACCTGCCTGATGACTCTGTGATCATTCACAAGTACCAGTGAGGAACTGGAAAGCTGCAATGGCCAGCAGTAAAAACTTGCCCTGATATAGCTGAGGCAGCAGGAATGTTAGCCTGCTACAATGCCAAACCCACAAAGAAATGTTGGAATGCACTCATGCATGTCATACATTACCTGAAAGGGACAATTGACGAAGGAATCGTCTACTACCCCCATACACAGACGACTATATCCCACCTACCAAAAGGCTTCACAGACTCTAATTGGGGAGGGCCTAATGCAGGAAGAAAATCAGTAGGAGGCTTTGTCTTTCTGTACAGTGGCTCACCTATCTCATGGAAATCAAAAGTCCAAAGCTGCGTCGCCACAAGCAGCAATGAAGCTGAATATATGGAAGGATCCAAAGCATCAAAAGAGGCTGTATGGCTTCACTGTGTATGCATCAAGATGGGCATTGCCAAACCCGACTCTCCGCCCATTGAGCTCTATATGGATAATGAAGGAGCAATCGCCCTATCCTCAATGGAGGGGACCAAGAGGTCCAAACACATCGACGTTTGATTTCATCATGTTCGGGACCTACAGGCCCTAGGCCTAGTCAGCATAGAGAACATACACTCAAAAGAGAACCCAGCAGACAGACTCACCAAGCCTCTAAGCACCCCAGATCATCAACACTTCCTTCATCTCATCAATATGGACTGACATCATCACCATCGCCATCAAAGCGACCAGACTTTGGAGGGAGAATAGAGGTAAAGAAGAAAGAAAGAATTAACTCTTGAGGATGGATACCCTCAACTCCTTGGTGCCTCACTACGCCAACCAATTAGGTGAATTCTCACATTATTCCATTTGCTATTCCATTTTCTATTCGCTGCTTTTGTTGAACACCAGATTGCCTGTACATCTGCTTTATTTTGTATACGTTTTGCTATGTATTTAGAGCTTTTCCGGGCTCCCAGCTCGCGCGAGGGGGGGTGTTAGTACCCACCGGGTCACGTGCTTGACCGCCCTCGCTTTCTGCCCAGTAGACATAGCTAGCCTGAGCCGATAGGCACCCAATCCAACCAACTATCCACACACACCAAAATGTTGTTTTGGTGTGTGGTGAATGGTTGATTGGTTTATGGCCTATCGGCTGAGCTAACTATATAAACTACCGGGCAGAAAGCGAGGGCGGTCAGACACGTGACCCGATGGGTACTAACATGTTGACTATTTCCTTGATCCTTGTTTCCCTCTGCATTTCCATCATAACATATCATCCAATGATTCTGCCTTGACTCCCCGCATAGTCACGTGAGACTGATGTGGCTAGGTCTGTAACACATACTAGAATAAGATGTCCTACGCGTCAGAATAATTAGTTTTGATAGAAATACACGTGTTTTGGTTGTTGGGAATAGCTTCAAGTTTCCTAAACATGGCCGACGTCAGTTAAGTGGCCGACTCGGGTGGGGTGGCCGACTCGGTCGGGAATTACGTTAACTATCACCGAGAGGTGCACCTCATCGGTGTCTGGCATTCTTCCATCTCTACCTCGAAGGCTTCGGTTCCGTAAATATCAGTTGATTCCTTTGAGTGTCGACAATGTTTATATTATCCCATTGCTAAACCCACTCCCCAACAGCATCCGCTCGCTCAATTATCCGCGGACTCAACGTCGATAACGATACCATCTGCCAGCTTCACACTCTGCAGGTCTTCCAGTGGGACAGTGGCTGGTGCTTGAAACCTGATTTTGTCCATCAGTATCCAGGAAAAACAACAATCAAGACTCGGGATGCCATTCATACATTAGACTATGGCTAGGAGGAAGACTGCGGGTGGAAATCATGAGAGAGAATTCCGAGGCTCTCTTCTCACCAAGCTTTTCCTGGGTCCTGCGAGACTATTAGATATGCCTTTTTTGGCAGATAGTATCTTTGTGAGGAGGGGGTAGTACAAAGTCTCGATATTTCTGCCATGTTGCGCGTAGGCTTCGTCTTCTGTGTAACGGATGCTGGCTCTCTATAAAAGGTCGAATGTGTTAATATTCTGCTCTGTAAGAGCAGGGGAGGATAACTCAACTAACGTATTCTGGCATTTTGCGCTAGGGTTTGACTTGGTGGTTGATGAGATTGTTGGTTGCCAGTATCAAGTCGCCTGAGGTCTGTATAACTATTTATACCCGCGGGTTATGTCATAGCTGAGCTCCAGATCTCAGCCGAACGAGGGGTTCGCGCTAATCCATTCCATATTGCCCGAGAACTCAACTGTGTTGCGTTATTGGCTCGGGAAGATCCACAGTGGCTGTGATTGAGCGTGGCTGGTTGACGATCCTTTGCTGGCATGAGCTAGACGTGTTCGAGGAATGTCCACGAGCTTCAAATTTACTCCGTACATAAGGGGAAGTTATGCAGTATGCGATTGTAGCCCTATGATGTTAAGTTACCGTCTTGCTTCACCCAAAGGTATGGGGTACCGGGAGCAGTTGGATGTCCCAAGTATCAGACTTGTGATAAACTGCTGGACTTGTAAGGGTTCCGATGAACAGAGGAGTAGTACATAGCCTCCATATATGATGTACGGGTCTGACGGACGTCAGGGCTGCAGCAGGAAATTGAATGTACTGATACAATGCTTCCAGTAACGCACCGTTCAATACGAACAAGTAATGTCAGATGTGCTAGTCATAACCTTGGCAATTTAGCCGAGGAAAATATAAATATCAAGGTCGGGGATGCTGATATGGTTTTGAAAGCTGAAGAGAGCCGAATATCAACGCATGAGGATTTTCAATGAACGAAGGTGGATCATTGGTATTGAAATGACTGATTAATAACTAGCTCATTCTAGTTATACGCATAAATGCTCTTATATCTACTATTGCATTCAGGTCTCGCTCCTTGGACCGTATTATGGGTATACTGCGAAGATGACTGCTCTATCGATCCTTTCTTTTGGTTAAAGCATAATAAAGAGACGGAAATCAACAAGTTAATGGCCAGACGGTTATTGATCTCCATTAGAACTCAGTTCAAGAGCGGCCCCAATAATCGATGCGCAAGCTGAACATTCTCTAGTCAAAACGGGTTTCCGAAGTGTTTCCGCCGGAAGATCATAGATGTACACGAGGACCAGGACTATTTATAATAAGAAGCGAGAGGGAGGAAAGTTTGCGGTCTAATGCACCTTGGACGCCCATGGGCAGTTTTGGCCTTGGTTCGTATTATAAACAATATCTATTCAAGTATTGAAGTCTGACGGACCTGCAATGCAGGATCTAAAGTGTGTAAATGCTCACGTTCGGATATGAAAATTATCGGAGTACATTAGTAAAAATTGATGGTATCGAAGCAACAGCTATACCTATCTCTCTGCAGGACGCTCGACTCGCTGTACCTGGGTCATAACACCCTCTGCCAATTGCACATTCTGCAGCTCCTCCAATGAGATACTATCGGGTGCCTCAAACCTAATACTTGTTAGTACTCAATATAAGAAACCTGTCCGGAGGGCCTTAGACTTGCAGTGTAATATGAAAAGGAGGGTACCCTGAATTAAAAGCGAATCGTTGAAAGCTCAACACACCCTTTGCACCGAAGTTGCTTCTCGCTCTAGTAGACTGTTAGAAGACATATATTATGGTTATAGGAGAGGGTTTGTACATGTTCTCAATGCCTGCAGCATGTTTACAATCGGCTCCAGGGGCGTAGCGAATTGTTAATCTCTAAGGGTAGTATCGAATTAGTGATTCGCCGAAGACTGGGCGGAATTTCAGTGGGGCCCAACGAACGTATTTTGCCATTTTGCACTGTGGTCTTTCCTGGCCCGGAATTCAAATATAAGAGTGACGGGACGGGTGTTCGTTGGGGTCACGGTTAGGCTTATCCTTTTATATGCCATTTGAGCAAGGAGTTGTGGGGAAATTAGGAACTGCGGGGGGACACGTAGCATACACAAGATGTACATCAATGCTTTAATTGCGCCTGATTGGATAACAGATCCAGATTACGGAGATACATCAAATGGCTAGGAGTTTGCGCTATCACATAGATAAAGCGGCAGGCATAATGTTACAGTAATAGAAATTGAAAAAGCTCCATTTGACGTCGAAGCCGGATAACTATTCTTTTCAACAACCATTCTCAGTATGGCTGATTTACTTGTACAGAATGCCCTATTCGTCCCTTTCTACTCTCTCAACGCTTTGTTTGTGTCTTGTTGAGGATTACCGTGTTTCTTTGCATTTGATAGTGACATGGAGTGCCGTCCTGAGAAAATGGGATTGTCCAGACTCGAAGAGCGTCAGTCGCCTGTGATGAGAAGTGAAGAAATAGAAGGACTACGAAGAAATACAGAAAAGTGAGCTCTATAGTTCCTCAACCAGTACCCTTTCCCTTCAAACATGATAATAAACATATTTCTCAACCGTTTTCAAGCTATGCACCAACGCCCAGCAATCATCAAATAGCAGCCACCTCACAATATCACTTCAGTGACCTCAGTCCGAATACCCGATGCCAGTTGTACATTCCGCAGATCATCAAATGGAACACTGTATGGTACCCAGAACCTAAACAACGTTAGCATCTAGCATAGCTTCGAGAGCATCAGACATACGTGGTGAAATGACTAAGTGGGCCCGGTCTCGGAGTTTCAATGAATTGGTTGAAATGCGAGGCACCCAATTTACCAAATTTGACTTTCGTTCTAGTAATTCGTTAGACGTACAACATAGCTGATGTTATGATGGAAAGTAGTACATGTGTTCAATGTCCTTGGCATATTTCTCGTAAGCTTCCGGGCTGTAGATGATCATGCATCTCTAGGTGTAACGATAAATCAGCACTCTGTTTTGGCAAACTCAGGAAACAACGGACATATTGGGTCATTTTGCACTGCGCGCTTTTTGGGCTGCGACTTAACAACGAAGATGATCGAGGCCGGTTGACCTCATGGGATTTGTAGAGGTTTGTTCATTATATACCTTGAGCTCCAAAGCTCCTGTCCTACAGACCGACGCAGAACGGTCTAGCATCAAGCCGACGGAAAAGGAATGAAAGTCATATAGCACACATAAAGCATGCTTGTACGCTGTCTGATTGGATCACATTCTCATAATGCAGTGTATACCGGGATGAAGGACACGGAGGAATCAAATTAAAGCTCTTCGCGCGCTTGTCATGAAGAAAATCCCATGTTTCAAATGCCGGTGAGATAATCCGAGGCATACGATAGGTCTGCTGCATCCAGCGACATGCAGCAGATTATTTGCGCTACTACATGGACGGAAGGCGCTTATTCGTTAGAATTCTAAACAAAGCTGAGTTCCGATCTCACCTAAGAGTCTCAGATCGCGCCAGACTTCTCCTCATGCATCTGCAAAAAAAAAAAAAAAAAAAAAAAAAAAAAAAAAAACGGTCCGGAAGTTGCTTAATTGGACCATGGTTGCTGCAAGTTTCGTCGAATTATGTTTCGAGGAATTTGGTCCGAATCAAAAGTTGTACACATATACAAGCTACGTCATCGGTATAGACGCAATAAAGTAGCAAATCTGTATTCGAGTCTATTGCTTGTTGCTTTTTCGTTTTGTTTTTGAAGTTCCTCTCGTGAGTAGTTCCCTAATCTTTGGGTACACGTCGTCCTATTTTAAATGGTGGGATGATAAAATTGCGATGGAATCAAAGGACAAGATAATAAGCCGCATCACAGACAATGGTGAGAGTGAGATTAGAAGACGAAGTAAAAACGTTTTTTGTAGAGAAAGACGTCACCACCCAGTATAGCCCTAATTCCCGTGACATTGATACATCAAAACTCTCATTTTAAGTACAAGATAAAGAAGTGAATGGGAGAAAATAGAAAAGTAAAAAGAAGAAACGAAAAGTGGAGCCACAAGGGACTATCACAAAACCTGTATAACAACCGGATGAAGACCCTCTCCTAGCCGTATCACCTGTAGCTCCTCAATTGGGACCGTATCAGGCACTGTGAAGCTGTATCTCCAATTAGCAGTTGCAATAAACAGAATACAATAGTCATACGTGGTACTCTCAGAAAGACCCGTTCCTGGTGTCATCGGTTGAAAACCTGAAGCGCCCTTTTCACCATATTTTGTTGCCAGTCTGGTGGATTGTTAGATACGCTTTTAGCTCTAAAAATATTGTAAAAGCGTGGAGACAAATACAAATATCCCAGGTTATCATGATACCTCCGAAACGCCGTAGCGTCGGCATAGCGGACGACAACTATCTAGTGAATAACTTAACATATTATCCACCATTTTAATTTCCTTCCTAGAGTGTCTGACTTACAAGTCTTTGCATTTTGCGCGAGTGTGGTAGGTCTCAAGATGAAGATAATTGGGCTTGATTAGGGGACGATTACTGAAAATCAATTTCTTGTTGGGCAGAAATTTTATCTGTTAAATACCATTTTTGTCAATTAGTGACTGGGCTCTTAACTGAGGGGAAATCGCAATTAGAACCACATGGAATGCAGCACAGATGCATCTTGACAGAATAGTTTATGCACACTATATCTCACCTAAGCAGATCAGTGGGTACTGCACACGTTGTCCAATCGACCAGCCCGAACGGTATATCTCGAGTATGATAAGTCAGACGAATCATAGATATTAGCATTGACAGCAATTGCTCCATATCGCTTTCCTTATTATCCCATGACCTCCTGCGTCCGAGTCCCTGGTAGCTATTTTACTAGTCCGAAAGGGGATCATAGCGTATTTAGTACAGTTAGCGCGCACATACCTACCCGTCTCCTGACAGGGGTTGTGCTTGTAGTGCCACTTCCAAAGGCTCCAGGGATTGGAACTACTCGATGAATCCCAGTATTTAGAATCTCATAATTTGCTTTATGTATGCCGCATTGGGCCATCTCTGATCTCCGGTGGCAATAGTATACACCATTAGGATGCTCAGTGACATAATATTTGCACTTGATTTCCGGTTATTGCTGTATCAACGCCAGTAATGACCTGCCATTACACCGAGCGGCCGTTCTTAGACAAAGTCAGATCGATCAATAGGAATCGAGATAACAAAAAATGAACTACTGGTCCCGCAGACCAGTGACTAGGCTATGAGTATTTGCTAATTGACATTTTTGTGGAGTGAACAGAGGCAGGTAACACTTCACAGACTTTATTTCGGGCCCTAAATTCCTTCAAGTCTGACAACATATCCCGTCCACAAGCTAACCATGCTGCTATCTAGGTCACGGTCTTCTGGATCGATTCAGGCATCCAGCGGTTGAAGTTCGAACCTGATACCCCTCGGAAAGTCTATCATCTTCAACTGATACACATGGACGCTGGAAGGCACTTCTATTCTGGAATTTATCAGTAATTATTCAATGGATTATATCAAGAGCAGGAACCATGCGACTGGGATAGTACATACACAGTGGAGATCTTGGGAGGATAGTTCGGAAAGCGCTCAAACGCCGCAAGCTTTGTACCCACTTCGGCAAACCTGCTCCTCACTCTGATATGCTGTTAGATTTATATTTTCGTGCACGGTAGGACAAGAGTATAGTACATATGCTCAATGTATGCACATTCCGAGAAGTCGCTGAAGCGCACGTTGAGGCGCTAACGTAGGACCATATCAGGATTTGTCTTGAAGGGCTTTCGGGATTGGACTTACAAGGTAGTAAGGCATTTTACAGAAAGACACGTTTTTCAGATTGCTGGGACAAATAGAGCCGCGTATCTGATTGCTTTATAGTCTATGACTTAGTGCCGTAGCTGGAACAGAAGAAACCCAGCGGCCTATCTATTAGCGAGTCGGATGACGAGGAGGATTTGGATACGTTCCGGGAGACGGAGACCACGGTGACGACTACTACAACAGAGAAGCTGGAAGAATTGACACGAGATAAATGGGACCCGAGAGAGCTGTAGTGAGCATCACATATAATGCAGAAGGCATTTCGCCCTTTGAGCTCAATTAGCCGACGTGTATATGCATTCGATGGTTGTGTGACATGGATGCATGAAGAATACTATTGTTTGCCGCCTTCTCAATGCAAAGCCAAAGCAAGTAAGCGCCGAGAAAATCTGCAGTAGCCAATTATGTGACAGAAAGGAGTAGAGCCGGATTGTTGTTTGCCATCAAATCTGCATCATGGGCAACGATGGATGCATGAATAATTGAGCATATTATGGGGACAATATACAATAGTCCGACATTAAGCCAGCCACTTGCTGGGTAGACTTTTATACTGATACGGATTTGCTTTTCTTACGAGCTCACTAAGTATCGGGCATTTTGGGCAGAGACGAATTGTCACTGTAGAGCTGCTGTCACCTGTGGATTACAGGAGCTTCAACTACAGTATGCCCACGTAGCCGCCTACTCCCAACTCCCTTGGGATAACGATAAAAGTTTTTATAGCATTTAGCTAGTAAATCCGAGAAGTAAATAACAGTTGCAATGCCCTCCCCGAGCTTCACATTCAGCAGGTCATCTAAGGAGACACTACTCGGTGCGTCAAAACTGATATTGATCAGTACCCAATGTAACAACAGCACTATCTTTGTGGATATGTATTAGACATACATAGTGGAATAGCTCGGCGGGAAGCCCTGATATGTTTTTAATGGTCTCCAATTTGTAGCACCCATTTCATTGAACTTGGGTTTCACTCTCATCATGAGCTCGATACAATGGTAAATTCCTGGAGAGATGGGAAAGGTAGTATAGGTTCTCAATATCATCGTGATATTGTTCAAAGTAAAAGGAGAACTCATAGCGGATCCAAAGAATCTAAATGTAGAGTTGAATTGGTATTTCGTTGTAGAAGACTAGAAGGCTGACAGACGTAAGAGATCATGCTGCACCGCTGATGCTTTTCCCTATTGAGTGATTTTTTCTGTCCTTGTTTACGCTTATTATCATATATTTTTATATTCCACAGTCTAGCTGACGGGGAAAGTGCAATGTAGCACATATACCGTCTGCATCTCTTTTTACCTACGCATAACAGGACAGTAACAATTCTATCAAACTTGACCTCTTGCCTGACGCGGTAGTTATAGTTCTGCGTCGATCTGCTACTTGGCATAATAGATCGGGTGTTATTTTCTGCTAGCAACTAGTCGAAATATCCACATTGTGAAGAAATTCAGCTAAGAAATCCCACCGACCCGGCGTCAAGCCCCAATAAACTAACTCCCTTGGGTATCGACAGTTCCAAGCTCGTTCCATTCTTTCCAGCCTAAACACATCAGAAACTATAGTCCACATCCTTACTGACAGTGGTGAAGATGTCATCATCCAGCACTACATTCTCCAGATTTTCTTGTGATAAGGAGACCGGTGCTTGGAAACTATCTTTTTATCAGTATCCAATGTCGATATTGGCATGGGCGGAGATAGGAGGCCATACGCAGTTTGAATAAAGAAGTCAGAGATTCCTTGTTGCGCAAAGTTTTCGAACTTTGTAATGCCGATCTCGGCAAATGCATTCTTCGTTCTGGAAGCCTGTTAGATGGATTGGATGCTTGGTGCGCAAGATGGTGGAGGTTCAGTACATGTTCTTGATGTTCGTGCGATACTTCTCATAGGCTGCTTTAGGCCTGTAGGTGATTTCGAGAATCTATAGGCCCATCGAGGTCAGTAGTTGGTTTTGGAAGGGGACAGGTGTTCAACGAATGCATGAGAGCATTTTGGGGTAAAAGCGGTAGATGTCGCGGTACTTTAGAGATCTCGACTGAAGCCCTGAGGTTGCCGTCATCAAATTATGGCCCTCTCGTGCAATTACCAATGCCAAGGGATTGAACTTATTTCACTTGTGATATAGAGGTGCTCGATTCGATTCTCGCTGCCAAATATACTGCAAATCCCACCACATTTCATAATCAAAGTGTACTGGAATTATACAAAGTAATCCAATAAGCTGTTCAATCAATCGTTTGTATCACATCCTGTAATGGGAAATGAGTGATAGAGGGTTGTATATAAGCCAAGGAACAAAAAAATTAAAATTAAAATTAAAAAAGAAAAGAAAAGAGAATAAAGACAAAACAACAACAACACATAGACAATAATACAAACACGCTAACATCGCTAAGAATACAATTTACACCAAGCAAAGCCAGGGAGCGGCCGAAGAGGAAATGTGTATAAGGATAGCAGCTAAGACGCGGCTTTTCTTTTTTTTTTTTTTTTTTTTTTTTTTTTTTTGGCATTTGGGCCTTGGGCCTCGGGTGGTGCTTAATCCTCATTGTCATCACCTATGCCTCTCTTCAGTTGGCTAAACGTGGGACTTGGTACCATCCTGCCCTTTCTCTCTAGGATGAGTGCAGCCCGGTTTAGTGCACGTTTATCATCTGCGGCAGAGCCTCTTCAATTGCTTCTTGGAATCCCGTAGGGTTGAGGCTGAGATTTCTTTTCAAATCTTTCAATGCGAAGTCTTCACTGTCTGTTCGCAGTATTTTTGCCCATGGCAGCTCGATCGCCGTCGAATCAGCAACGGGAAAGACCTTAGCATCATTTGCAAGAAATATCTTTAGATCGTCCACGCCAAAACCAACGCTGCTCATGATCCCTGTCTCAGGATCACCTTGTCGGACCTTCCTATAAACACACATTCGCGCCTTAATCTCTCCGACAAGTGGTTTCATCAACAATCTATCTTTTTCAAGGTCTTGCAATTTCCGGGCTAGTGTCCGCATATCTGCAAACGAAGCCTTTGGACCGTCTTCTTTTTCAACACCGTCAATCATTGTCCTGTCGGAGAGCCTGTCCTCCGTCTCCATTTCGGTAAACTTCCGCTCCTCGTTTTCTGGCAGCTCAATGCGGAGGTCTTTGCTCTCAGTAAAGATGATGATGACGACGAAAGCCACGGCATCGTATGTCCCATGTAGCCACAGTTAGGCATCTTTGATCAAATCGTCCTCTCGTCCAGCCCAACCCGTTTCAAGAACGACCAGCGGAAATTCACGACCTCTGAGAGTTAAGTACCCATCCGGTTCTTTGGTACGATTTGGGGGTAACCCAGGAAAATCGAACCCCATGAACTCTTCGAGCACGTCAGTAAGCTCACCCAATTGTGGCTCGTCCAGAAAGGATGTACATACGGGTACTTTGGCCGATGATCAGCTGCCCCTGGCTTTGGCTACTCAACTTCCCTATTTCCTGAGATCCTTGCGCTTGAAACACGCGAGATGTCGAGTCATGTGTGGACGTTGGCAAGCATCTGATTCCGAGTCTTTGCCTCAGCCCATCATATTCGTAATATGTGTGTTCATCTCCTTGCTGGGCCTCCCACGGCTCAAATATCGAGCGAGGCATGTGAACTTCTACCCAGTCCTCCAATGATTCGGCCCAGCGTGGGCGTGCCGGTGTTTCCATATCCTTGAGGACCATTGCTGGGTCGATGGTGTTCAGGGCGCGCTTGACCTTTGCAGGGTCGTTCGAGTTCAGATCAGCGACCGGGTTGCTAGATGTCGACGCCGCCAACCGGTGGTCAGACGGCGTTACCTCGGTCGACGGTGTGGATGGATTTTCCCTCTTTTCCATTGTTTTTACTGGGCTGTGGACCTCTCGTGGTGGTAGGGCGTGGCGGCGAACCTCCGATTACTGGTACGTTCAGCCGGACTGGTGTCCTCCCTGTCGGGATCGGCCCCGGAAGGGTCTGGATAAGGTTAGCAAAGCCCTACCACCACGCTTTTTACGGAACGATATTATCTCCAAGCCCGGCCTGTTCGATTTCAGACCCCACAGTATATCCTTGGGAGGAAGAAAGGTAGGGAGAGGTACGGCAAGACGCACATCCAGGATTCCAAATTCAAGTTCCATTGTTGATGACGTGACGAGTATATTCCTTAGTATCCTACAATCCTCTGCGACAATAATAACCCCTTCTCTCCAATATCCGAAATTTCCAAGCCAACACAATATACTCTATCTCCCAAGCGCTGCGCGATAAACGCAGAGGAACAGCGACGAGCGCGAGGAGCGTGGAATATATAGGAGGTCTCTGTCGGTATGGACGATCGAGAGTCTTATGTCGCAGGCTTTCAGTTCTGGCTGCACGAACGGCACGACGGGCGCGATGGGCGCAACGAGTACAGAAGGTATTGGAGGTCTCGGTAGGGCTGCGGAGGACACGGTACGGACAAACGAGAATCGTATGTCGCAAATCTTCGATTGTGGCTGCGCGAAATGTGATAACAGAAACTTGCGAAATGGCAAGAAACTTCAATCAATCTGCTTTTAGATTCGACAGGATGCGGGATTCAACACTTCGTGGTTGCCGTCTAACCTCGCCCTACCGTTCCTACCAGAAACAGAAGCCGCGCTACAGTGTGGCGGCAAGTCTACCAAGCAATACCAAGTCCATAAACAACTCGGTAATAAATCCATTTCAACGCTAGTCACGAATGTCATTCATGAAGAATCCTTGTTGGCCATATTATACAGCAGGCTCATTCACCACCCTCCTAGCACCCGGCGGCTTCGTTGGCAGCGACAACCACAACCCCAAACAAACACAAAGCATCACCAGAACCATCGGTTGCAGAACCCCAATACCCTGCGACTTTGCAATAGCGCCCGTGATAAACGGAAACGTGCAGCCTCCCGCACTGCCCAACGCACACGCGAATCCCACCGCAGCGACGTGCAGATGTTTCGGAAGGATTTTGGTCTGCGCGATAACAGCTTCTGGGAAGAGCGGACCGAGAAAGAAACCCAGGAATGTGACTGCGATGGCAGACGCGACGAAGTTGTCGACTGTGTAGAAGATGAGTTGTGCGGCGATGCAGCCGATTATGTATACCGTTACGGCGGTCTTTTGTTTCTTGAGATAGGGGGTTAGGAAGCCGAGGACTATACGTCCGCCGGTTATACCGGCCCAGTAGGCGAAGTTGACGATTCCAGCGGCAAATGGGGCTGTCTGGCGGAGGTCGACGAGGAAGGTGATGAGCCAGCCTCCGACTGTGACTTCGCTGCCGACGTAGACGAACAAGTAGGCGCTGATGATCCATGTGGATGGGAGCGCTAGAGCCTGGACCGTGGGACTCTTTTGCTGCTGCGACTGGGGTTGTTCATCGTCTGTATGGGCAGTTTCCACGGTTCCTTTGGCGTTCCAGAATGCCGCGACAGAGGTTACAAACTCGACAGCTGCTGCCAACGCCATGATATAGTAAAACTCGTACCACTGCCATCCGCTCTTAGTGAAGAGCGTAGTCGCAATCAACGGCGCCAACGCCGCACCCACTCCATAAAACGCGTGCAAAAGACCCATCAACATGCTGCTGTCAGCCATTGCGCCGATCCAGGCATTCCACGAGGCATCAATGACGCCATTTCCGAGACCAGCCAGGATGAAGATGGCGATCAAGACGGGGTACGGGGGATGGCGGGTAACTGCGAGGTAGGCGATGATGTGCATACCACATCCCAGGATCGCGACTCCGCGCTGGCCAAATCGGACGTGGATTGAGTGGTTAAATAGTGCCGCTGTGGCATAACCGATAAAGGAGGAGAGGAAGACCACAGATACAGCGGCGTAGTCGGCATCGTAGTATTTTTGGAGCTGTTTTGTTAGTGTGAGTTGAAAAATATCTGATCCATTCAACATACATAAGGAATTAAAGCCTGCGACGAGTTAGCCAAGCTCACGAACCTCTGGGGGGGGCGAGACATACACCATACGAACCATCATTGGCACCCACGACTATGAAACTGTAAAAGGTTGCGAGAACCCTCCAGGCATTGATACGAGGCTCATTCCATTTCTCCGCCTGGTGCTCTGTCTCTTCCTGAGTCTCGTCCGTCTGGCGGTCTGTCGCGATACCATAGTCGGCTCTAGCCGTATCGCTCGGCAGCAGAGGTCTTGTCTGCTCTGCTGTGTGGTTATTTGGCGCCATTGTGCCTTCAACTGTTCAAGTATCAAGGATAAATGCAGAGATGTAAAAAGGAAGAGGAATTGGACGTTGAAAAAGAATCGGTCAATTCACATGACATAACTCAATCCACACAACCCCGCCATAATCTCAGACCCCTCTTGGCCGGCTGAACTTCGGCTCATACTACCATAAAAGAAGGTCCAACAAGCAGATGCAATCATCTTGAACTGCAGTATATCGGTACATGACCAATCAGCGTGGGGTTCATGCGGAGGAGGATCTGATATCAACCCCCGCGTCTGGTGAACAGCGGTCAGAGTTGCATTTTCATGAGTCGGAAGCAGAGAAGATAACTTTCCGGGGCAGAAAAAGAGTGCACTAAATTAAGGGTGTAAAAAGATGATTAAAAAATTTGGAAAGGAAAAAAGAAAAAAACAGTTTTCGATCTTGACAAGAGAGGGATTCGAACCCTCGCACTTTCGTACTGCGGATCACACCATAATACCGTACTTTTGTACGGTAATTTACTATGGATAACCTAAACACAGCGCCTTAGACCACTCGGCCATCTTGCCATAGCTAGTTATGCTTATTTGCATTGCAACACATTTTGACCCTAGATATTTATAATAAGCATCTATTTTATTCAAGCTCATTTCCGGTAACTGCGCTGGGTTCTTTGATCTTCCCGAGTCCAGGGAACCAAAGAATGGTCTTTATTCTTTGACAGTTGCCGCTATACTTTTTTCTGGTTAGAGTTCAACAAAGGGCCGTCATAGAGCTCGTATTGGGCTGGTTCCACGTGTTGCTGGTTGATCCCTCGTGGCGTATTGTGTTAGTTTCTCGCTGTAGAATGGTATATCGATTGAAGCACATCGTAGAACGAAGACAGATGAGGATTATCCGGTTCGTGGGAGTCATAGTTGAACGGGTTCGAAGCCTGGATCCTGTTTAAATACGCATCTCAGTATCGATACTCAATAGATATCTAATCATCATCATCATCACCCAGCTGTTCTAACTCTGTCGTCGCCAAGAAGATGTTTGAAAGACAAAGCACGTAGATACTATTGACAACCATAACAGGATGGAGTTCTCCATAGGGCTTATTCCTTCCGAAGCCTATCTCAATAGTGACTGGATCATGTTTCAAGATAACTGGCGATTGCCACAGGTAATGAATAGATTGGAAATACAACCAGTGAATTGAATCAGGTAATTCCCTTTATTGCAATGCATCTAAGCGAGAAGAGACTAACTTGTATTCGCTGTTTGTACCTCATTCTGTAATATAAAATCCCTCACCATCCTCATTCTCCTTCCCACTGAGAACACCTTCATCTTCCAAACCACTCTTGTGACTCCAGCCCAACAACTGCCGTCACAGTGAAGCTCCTCCTCCCTCTTTTCCATCTTCGTCGCCATGGTGACTGCCGCTGCTCTCCCAGTCAACAAGATTCCTGTCGCAATCCCAGTCTCAGTCCCCTCGAACCCTTCAATACTAACCCACACGCCTCCTACAGAAGCCGCCCTCCCTGACTCTATCCGTAGCGTCTTCCACGAAAACTAACGCGTGAATCGTACCTGCACCCGCCGCATTAACTGTGGCGCTGGCGTGTGCTGGGACGACCACTGCTACTACGACAGCCGTGTTGAGTGCTTCCCCGGCCGCACCTGCGACACTGGAACCTGCTACCATGGTTACTGCTACGTCGACGAGGAAGATATCCCCTGGGACGACGAGGATAAGCCCAACAACATTGATAACGGCGATAGCGACAACGACAACGACAACGACAACGGTGATATTGCTAAGCATGACGGTTTCTGAGACATTGGCGACGATGACAAGATCTTTCGCGAGATAATGGACGTTATTCATCATCGGGCCAAGGCCGAACCGCCGATGGCGAAGCGCGAGCCCCAGAGCGATGAAGACTTAAAAGAACTCGAGAAATATTTTCCGCCCTGCGACGACGACCCGGAGTGCAACAACGGCCTAATTTGTGGTCAGGTTAGTCACTGCGTCTGGTCTATTCGACCAGGGATGGCAAAGCGCGAGACATCCTGCGAAACCGACACAGACTGCCCGCTCTTTCCGTATGATGTCTGCGATGCCGGCCAATGCATCTTGGGTGCTACTCTCCCAAACCGTCCGGGAAAGCGTGACGTGCCAGCTCTCTGCAACATTCCCGGTGAATGTACCGCCTACGGTCCTGTCCCGCCGCCGCCCGAGAAGCGCGATACCAACAAGGATGTCAACTGCCACAACGATGAGCAGTGCTCGCCTGGAATCTGCCAGGATGGCATCTGCCTTCTCAAATAGATCCGGTTTCTGGGTTTCATGTGAGTGGGATCTTGCGATGCTTCTTTCTTGCTCTGCTAGCGGTCTTCAGCTAGATGGTTATTGGCATCATTGAACGGTTTAGTAATATGGTCTTGGTGGATTTCAGGATTGCGAATTGGGTAATTGGATTTGCTTGTATCTACAGATTCTTTATCAACACAGATTGGATATTTCCTTACTTGTTCCTCGTAGTTTTCTACTTCTGCGTACTTATAGATACTTTAAATTGGCCAGCCTGCGGTCATTCCACCATTCAATCTTCGTGCGTATCTCACAGAACCCTTACTCAAACCCTAGTGGACCAACCGACGCGAGAATCAAAATGTGGAAGCAAACAAAAATCGACGTAGACAAACAACTAACCAGTTACTTGACATTGGATTCACCGTTATTTTCAGTGACTGATTATAGATCTCACGTTTAATGACAAAAGAATGAGATCCGTCGTACCTTTTGCCTTGGTACCTAACTGAGTCCATTTGGTGGTGTGATTGTGATGGCGTATTGATCGGTCTTCGTAGGGCATACTCGATGTCAGATGTATATCTGCACATGTAGCTTCAATCAACTACAGCATTTAGTAATATTGTACTATATAATGCGATATAAGTTAACTACTTTGGCATGTATAGTTGTACAATTTAACAGTTGGTACGAAATGACTTGCGGTCCTCGATATATATACGACAACAGTTTCCAACAATTCTTCCAGCCAATCCTCTACAAAATGTCTCGATACTCCAGACCACTCTCTCTCCTCTCTCTTCCCTCTCGAAACCAATACCAAATCCCAACTCATCCAGTCTAGGAATTATTGATCTGCGTCGACTCCGAAGAAACAGCCCAATTTTCAGGTCACCGTACTACTCTCTTCTTATAAAAGAATACACTGGATATTGTGATAAAGCACTTCGAATACAGTACACTTGATAAATTGTAGAATGTCTATAATTAGACCGAAGTACGAAATCCCCCAGAGGATCAGGACCGTTGGACCACGGGGTCCTCACCATGTACTCCACATCTATACAACATCTATACACGACATTTTCTATATAAACTGGCCCTTTCACTCTTTCACACGCATCGAAATGCATTTCTATAAATTTTAAAATACAATGAATCGCCGACTCGGGCTCTCGGGCTTCACACCCCGCCCAATCGGCGACCCCACATTACCACACATATAAACTCCAACCTCATCTCAGCGCACCTCACCTCATCAACCTCACCATCTCTATCTTCCACAAAACAAACAATTCCTACAAACAAAATGTGCAAGAAAGCCACCTGCTCCAACTGCAGTACGTTCCTTAATACCCCTAGATCACGAATAGTGCAGCTAATAAACAGACAAAACCACCTGGTGGGGTTGCGGAAGCCATATCCCCAGCGTCATGGACGCAGTGACTCAGGATGAGCGGTGCACGTGTACGCCGCAGGTTGAACGCGAGGGGAAGGCGTATCCGCCTAAGGCGGAGAATCCGTGACTGGCCGGTTGTGTGATTCAGTGAGGGGGGGTTTAGCGTTTACGAGAGGACTATGGAAGTTATTCGGAGGATATCATAGGATTAATTGGTTTACGGTGTACTATGGGCCAGTTTCTTTCGGGTGTATTAATCGAAGCCAAAGCTATTCATTATAGTTATTTCGATCATGCGTCGCAAGCTAGATGGCGCGCTAGACGATAGCAAACAACTTCCGATTCTGCGCCAGCCGTGCAATCACCAGAAGAACAGCTCCTACCAGGAGACTCACTCCGGAGTAAATCGAAAGCGCCAAGTATCCGTATTTTCCAGCCAGCTGGCCGCTGATCGGAATTCCAGCCATTGCCCTGCATAGTCAGTAACAAATTAAAGACGATGGAAGGAGAAGAAAACATACGATAAGGAAGTAGAGCCCATAACAGCCCCGATGGCCAGTCCAAGGGTCTGAGACGTAGCAACCTGGGCTGCGCAGGCCTGTTGCAGGGATAAAATACCCTAAACAGGTTAGTATGGAGTCAAGTAATTCAAGAAAAGAGAGGGAGGGACCAACCCCAGACGCAAAGCCATAAGCAGCAGACCAAACCACCAATCCCGCCACAGAAGTCGCCTTCGTCCAGCACAGCGCAATAACCCCCGCGAAGCAAGTCGCCACGATACAACAATTGAATTTCCCATATTTATCTGCGACGATACCGGGGAGAATACGGCCGAAGAAAGATGCTCCGTTGACGATCGAGACGGTGTAGAAGGACAAATCGTCCGAGAATCCCATCTTGGTACCGTAGGACGTGGTGAAGAAAAAGGGCGAGAACATTCCGAAGTAGATGATGAAGAAGGACAGGCAGGTTAGTTGCATCTTGAGCTGTTTGAGGATGGAGAGGTCAGTCTTTGGAGGGGTTTTGGGTTCCTTGGAGGTTGATGCTGGTTGATCTTCATTGGTGAGCTGTGTTGATGGCGGCGCGGGTGCGGGACGACAGCAGACACAAGAGATCAACAAAAGAGGGAGCATGATGAATCCCGAAATTCGCATGGTCCATGGAAAGCCGATGTTGGGCTTCTGCAGCAATTCTCTAATCACGATGGGCCATATGACACCTCCCAGAGAAGAACCGGCGATGACGATTCCCATGGCAGCGGCGCGTTTGACTTTTATATGCTGGCCGACAAGGGCAAGCATGGGAGTGACCAGGAAAGCCATCGAGATGCCAAGTAGGATACCCTGAGCGAGAATAAACTGCCACAACACCTTGCATAAAGAGGCCATCATCATGGCAAAGACCGTTCCGAAGGAGCCCACATACAGCATCAACTGTGCCAGTTAGCCATCTCTCTTTCTCTCTAAGATGTTCATGGATCAGACTTACCCCCGGACCAAAGAAATCAAGCATCGGACCGGATATGACTGAAATGGAGAAAATGAAGAAGATACTGAGGGCTCCGATCCATGCGATGGTTGTTTCTGTTTCGTCGGCGAGTTGGTACTGCATATAATATGCTTCGAATACGCCAAAGGAGTTCAGAAATCCGACTGTGCAAAAGAGTCCGGTGAAGGCGCCGAGGATGGTCAGGTTTGCTCTGAGTCTGTTATTGTCAGTCAGCCAGCTTTCATGAAGATATGCTGTTGGAATGCGAAGATTCGTACGTGTATTCGCTTGGAGGCTGAGACTGGACCCCAGGCTGGGCCTCAATCTGCGTATTGTCCTCTGCGCCCATGGTGTTCGATAATCCGATGTGGTTGGATCCTCAGTGATTTTTTGGTCAGACATCGGACGAGGAGTAGCTTTTATAGACATGACGACGGGTAATAAGAGGTAGACATATATAGGTATGACTCCCGGAGAGTCCGCTGATTGAATGAAGCAAGCATCCGGAAGCAAAATGAACCCTGATGATGATTTCCCTTTCGGGTTATCGTAGTGACGCTTCTCGGAGAGTCCGCGGAGGCTCCGAGACGTTGAGGTCGGCATCATTCGACCTTTTCGCACACATATCCGTTGGGAAAAAATATTCTAATGCCATCCATATGCTTGCTCTGCCTCTCCCCTTGTCACAAAATTGTGCATAATTGTTGATATTTTGTTCAAAAACGAAGACAAAACCGTCTCCAGAGCACGTGATTTCCCACTTTCGAGCCTCAGGCAACACATTCACCATCGTCAACCACTTCATCCCCCTCGATGAAGCGCAAACCATCTGAGCAGGAGGGAACGCCTTCAAAACGCGCTCCCAGACAGGATCCCGTATCCTGCGAACTATGCAGACGAAAAAAACTCAAGTGCAACCGCCAGAAACCATGCAGCAGCTGCGTGACGCGACGGTTGCCCTGCAGCTACGGGGCATCGGTATCCTCGTCCGATACAGGTCACGGTCAACCAGTTGGTAGTACAGTGCTTGCAAAGACGGTCCAAGATGAGAATTGGGTGCCAGCTGCGAACAATGTCGTTACTTGTCCCGATGGTCAGATATCGCGCGATAGGAACGAGTCAGTTATGACGGCGGACTGGCTCGAAAAGATTGTCTTGGGGGATCGAGTTCCGACGGGCATGCGAGCGACTCGAGGATTGAATGAATTCTCGAAGGCCGATGTTATAAGTCATGGGCAGGGGGTCGCGGGAAATCCTCTGCCAATATCCTGGACGGCTTCTTCTGAGAATCCCGCGACGGTTCAGTTGCTTTCATTTCTACCGAAGAAAACGGAAACGATGACTCTGTTCCAGTATTATAACAACTATATCGACTATTTGTATCATATCGTCCTACCCGACCGGGTGGAGGTACAAATCACCGTCATCTACCAAGCTATCGAAGACCAGGAACCGCTGAATTTAAATCACCTGGCTCTTCTGTTCAGCATAATCGCAAGCTCCCTTTTCTTACAATTGTCTATTGAGTCGTCTGTCCATGCAGAGGCGTGTAGTCGAGAATATATCTTCTTGACAGGTGCTGCTTTGATTCAGAGTAACTACTCTGCATATCCAACAATCGAGGGACTACAGGCGACGTTAATAGTGGCGCATAACCTATCCAACACGAACTGCCATCCATCCATTCGTGCGCTTTTTGTACATGGCGCGATTGTTAGTCAAGCGAAGAGTCTCATGCTACACTGTATCGACTCGCCTCAGTTCGGAAAAAAGCCCAACGGCGCTGATATGATGGAAATCGAGCTCAAAAGACGTCTTTGGTGGGACTTGGCATCATATGACTGGTAAGCTCTCAGCAATATGATTCCAGGTGGCTGCTGACCCAGTCGTAGGTTATTAGGCTTCCTCAGCGGTCCGCAAGAAAACACATATCTCATCCACCCGGACCACATGAACGTCCAGAAGCTGGCGAATATAGATGACACAATACCAGACAACAAAGAAGAATGTTCGTTGCCAACTTCAACGCCAACAAAAATGTCTTATTCTCTCGAGCGGCTCAAGCTCGCAGAAGTGTGTCGAGAGATAGTCGATGTAACTGCCTATGAAAACCTGCGAGGAAGAGAAGTAAGCTACGATAAGGTTCTCGAGCTGGATCGTAAGCTCCGACAAGCCTATGATTTTCCGGCCTTTTTCCGTCTTGACCCCGTTTCCAGACATCAATATGCATCTCTCTATCATCACCGACCAGAAATCGCTTGGCAGAGATTTCTTTTACATCAAGCTTACCATTCACGTCTATGTCGACTACATCGTCAATATTTAATTCGAGGGGCTCGTGATCCGACATATTCCTATTCGCATGTGGTCTGTCTTCAATCAGCACGCAAGGTGCTTGAAATCAAGAGAATCATGGATGAGGATGAGCCGACATTTATGCCACCTAGCTCAGTGGTCTGGTCAGTTATGCATCATGTATTCATGGCTGCTGTTATCCTCTTGATGGACGTCTGCTTTAACTGGGATGATATACTAGCAGAGAAGCGGAAGGAAGAGGTACTGAATGCATGTCGCATGTTGAGTAAAGCACAGCAGTCCTCATCGACTGTTCGCGAGGGAATCAATGCAATGATGGAGGTTCTGCAGAAGCATTGGAAGGTATCCAACAGCAAGCAATCTGCGGTAGCATCGTCTCCTGTCATAAACCCCATGGAGCTGGGTAATCCGGCTCGTGAATCTGACCCGAATACCGATTCACTGTCCGCTACTAATCTCAAGCCATCCCCGGCAGACCTTCCAAGCAGTGCGATGGATGATACTGGGGAGACGCTTGAAGATATATGGACCGAGATGCTAGACAGCAGCGGGAATCTGTCTTTCGACATACCAGACTGGACGGGGCTATTAACCGCGTTAACAAATGCCACTATACCTTATTGATGCCTGGGGAAAGTTCAACACCAGGAACCAAGTTCCGTGACGGCTGTCAACTATGGTTCATAGTTGACGGCCTATGATGCCATTATTATGTCGTCCGATTGACATGCGACTTAGCACTTATGGAATGGGAGCATGATTCTAACACGACGACTCGCTTGTCAACGTCAGCATGCAACGACCAAACCACCTCCCCTACATCCGCCGCTACATCACGACGCACAGCAAAGACGGCGAAGCCATCTTCCTCTCCCATACCCAAGTCCCCGATTACATCCCCTCCAAGCCCGCCGGTCAGGATGGCGAACTAGCCCTTCTCTACACAACATCAGTCACACCCGTCGATCTCGCCGATGAGGGCGACGTGGCCGACTACGATGACTTCCTCCATACACCACCGGGCCTGACCACATCGCAAGGCACGGTTATGCGAACAATTGACCTCCGCCCTGGGAAGATTTCCCCGATGCATCGGACTATCAGCTTGGACTATGGGGTTGTGATTGAAGGCGAGGTCGAGCTTATTCTGGATTCTGGGCAGAGTCGTGTGCTGAGACGGGGTGATGTGAGTGTACAGCGGGGGACGGCGCATTCGTATAAGAATCGAAGTGAGACGGAGTGGTGTCGGATGTTGTTCGTGTTTCTGCCGATTAACCAGTTAACTATCAAGGGGAAGGAGTTGGAGATGGAGGTTTACGATGAGCAGTATCAGTACGGTGGGCAGGATAAATAAATATAAACGACTAGCGATAAACAACGCGATCTATGTAAGTAAGTTAGTGAAAAATGCGACTACAACGAAGATTCATGGTGTTGTCCATACGGCCAAAGAGCCTTCGCATCAAGACCCGCATTAGCCCCCATCCAATCAACCCTCCTCTTAGCATCCCCCTTATACCGCCCCAATATCATCCCACTAACGCGGTTAAATTCCCGTCCAACATCCATATCCAAGTCCTCCAAGAGCCTAATGCACAGCGGCGGGACATAGACGTACCTGTTCGCGCAGTTCTGAATAACCTGGTGGCTGTCCATGCGATGCTCGTAGAGATCATGGACCATCTTGCGGATGATTCGGGGCTTGACTCCGGACCTGGGACCTTTTTTGAGTAGTTCCAGGATCTCATTGAGCTTCTCGTGCACGAGATCATCGCAGTAGACGCTGCAGACGGTTGGATGTCTGTATTCGGCATCGCGGAAGCGTTGCATCCTAGAACGTACGGTGTGGATGAGAGCCGCCCGTCGTCTCGTTATTCTCGCTACCTTTGTCAGTATTCACCCGATAACAATCATTTCGGGGGGTGGAAGAGAAACTCACCACCAACATTCAACGGCACACAAGTCCCCTCCAACTCCACATCCAACCCTGTATCCAAAACCAACTCCTTCGTCACAAACCGAAACGCCTCACTCATATTAAACGCCCAACTAACACACAACAACCACTTCGCAATATCCCTCAACGACGCCCTCGGATTCCCAACCCTCACCGTAGCAGCCCATGTACTCAACATCGTACTCACGCTCTCAAACAACTCGTACTTATCCACGACCACCGCGATATCCTTGAGTAATTCGAGTTTGATTTTCCGCCCTGGCACGGAGAAGAAACGTCCGTGGACTGCGTTCATTACGGCAAGCATGGCGGTGGGGTTGTCGTCGGGGAGGGTTATGTTGACATAGCCGTTGGTGCGGAGGGCGGTGGCTTCTCTGAAGGGGCCGGTTAGTAGGGTTCGGTAGTAGGAGGAGGCGGTGATGAGGTGGTGGGAGGAGACGAGGAGTTTAGTGGGGGGGTTAGTGGTTGTGAGGGTTAGGGTTGTGTCACCATCTGGGCAGATGTTGTGGGTGGGCATTTTGATGGTTATCTTTCTGATGGGTTGAGATTAGTGGTATGTTTGTTAAGAGGTGTCGAGGTGTCTGTCTCGTTGATATATGTTGCGAGGACAAAGGGGCATTGTTGAGTTTTGGTCTTTGAATCCTTAGTATAAATCATTGGAAAAAAGCTGTCTTCATTCACTTGTCTCTCTTACATGCTTTCAACACTCTCATTGTCTTCCATTGTGCCCTTCAATGTGCTCTCTTCATTGTTACTATTTCAGGGCTGCCAGATCTTATCTTATCACAGATAACGCTAACCTCATCCGGAATGTCGGAACGTTATTGGACAGTCATTCCATAGATATATAGTGCTACGTAGTATAGAGAGGCCTCATCTTAATCTGTTTGTATGCTAAGACCATTTCCAATCGTAGTTGTCTATTTTACGCCCTACGCGGTACATATCTCACCGAGCCATCGGACCATTCCGAATTCCGACGGACGTATTCCGCAGCGCCGACCCCGCCGATTTAACTCGCATTTTTCCCTCGACTCACTCTGTCTGTTCCTACACTCAATCCAATCCAATCGCAAAGATGGACCACGATCAATTCAGAACCGCTGCACACTCAGCAATTGATGACAGTAAGCCCCCTCCCAGCGCCATCTCACAATCACTCTCCTAACCGGCTGCCAGTAATAAACTACTTCCAAACCCTCCCCTCGCAACGCGTCGTCCCAACCATTGAACCCGGCTACCTCCGCCCCCAAATCCCCTCCAACCCACCCACAGACCCAGAATCATGGCCGGACATACAAGCCGACATCGACACGAAAATCAAGCCCGGTCTCACGCACTGGCAATCACCGAACTTCATGGCATTTTACCCAGCAAACGTGACATACCCGTCTATCCTGGGCGAGATGTACAGTGCGGCGTTTACAGCGCCGGCGTTTAATTGGCTGTGCTCGCCTGCATGCACGGAATTGGAGACGATTGTCATGGACTGGGTTGCGAAGGCGCTTTCATTACCGGGGTGTTTTCTGAGTGATTCGGAGAATCGCGGGGGCGGGGTTATCCAGGTTTCTGCGAGTGATTCGATTGCGACGGTTATGGTTGCTGCGCGGGAGAGAAGGGTACGGGATCTTGTGCTTGCGGAGGGGCTAACAGAGGGCACGCAGGAGTTTGAGGAGCGGATGATGGATTTGCGACCACGGCTGGTTGCGTTGGGGAGCGATCAGACGCATTCTAGTACGGCCAAGGGGGCGATTATCGCAGGGACGCGGTATCGTAGTGCCAAGGCGCGGTTGGAGGATAATATGGAGATGACGGGGGAGGGGTTGCGCAGCGTGTTGGAGCAGTGTGAGCGGGAGAACCTGACGCCGTATTATATCACGTTGACTATGGGGACGACGAATACATGTGCTCTTGATCGGTTCGCGGAGATCAAGGCCGTGTTGAGCGAGAAGCCCGCTTGGCAGAGGATTTGGGTGCATATCGACGCTGCATATGCAGGGTCTGCGCTGATCACAGAGGAATGGCAGCATATCGCGCAGGACTTTGCAGAGGGCGTCGACTCATTTAACTTCAATATGCACAAATGGTTGCTGGTCAACTTCGACGCGAGCTGTCTCTTCGTCCGCAACCGCCACGATCTCATCGACGCACTAGACATCACACCTGCATACCTACGCAACACCTACTCAGAAACCGGCCAGGTAATCGATTACCGCAATTGGTCCATCTCATTGGGTCGACGCTTCCGCGCGTTGAAGATCTGGTTCGTCATGCGCAGCTACGGGCTTACTGGGATGAAAGCGCATGTTCGCAAGGCTATTACCTTGAGTGACACGTTTGAAAACTTGATTCGGAATCGCGCGGACTTGTTTGAGATTATCACTAGGCCTGCGTTTGGATTGACTGTTTTCCGGATTAAGGCGCCTGGCACTCAGGCCAGTGGGTCTGTCGTGCAGCCGGATGAGGCATGCAATGCTTTCACGAAGAAGGTATACGAGTTGATTAGCGCCCGGGGAGAAATCTTCATCACTGCCAGTGTTGTGGCGGGTGTGCAGGCCATCCGGGTGGTCAGCGCGAACGAGGCTGCTCAGGAATCGTATATTCGGCGAGCCTTTGATATTATTGTCAAGACCACGGAGGAATCGCTGTAGACATTGTATTTGTATATAGATACTACCATTCCTGCTCTGTTTATAGTGTACTACTCTGCACTCATGACGAAACCATCGTATAGTTTTGACTGATGTCATCCATCCATTGAAATCCGGGGTACATTAGATCGAGGTCAGCATCTACCTCCTTAAAACATTACAATATCCAAGATAAAAGAAATGTATCTTAAAAAAGCCCTCCAACTATCCCTCGCCAGCACGCTCCTCCCTCCTACACCACTCAATTCCCCGTCTCCATCCATCTCAGCAAACGCAGAAGAACCCGGCTACTCCCCCAACACCCCTTCAACAGTATCCGGAACGCCACACTTCGGTCAGAACTACGCCGTCCTCAACCTCGATCTAATCAACGGCCTCGTTGGGAATGTCAATGAGACAGATGTAGGGAAAAGGTGGATTAATGCGACTGCGAATTGGATCAATGCGTACCCTTTCCATCCCTTCCATAGTTATCAGATTTGGACTAACGACCGGTTAGAATCCACGAAATAAACCTCTCACCACTAAACATATACACAAGGATCTACTTCACAGAATCCTGGAAACCCGAAGTCACACCTGACACGCCGTTTTCAAAGGTCGTTGCACCACTAGGAAACATCACCGCCTCAGATCCTAAATCGCAGATCTACCCTCTTTTCAAACCAGCCGGTAACCGCAAAGACGTAGTCCTGCGCAAATCGAGATACTACGCCGGAGACGCGAACTCGCTAGAGGAGATTTTGAGGGTTCGGGGGGTTGATACTGTTATTTTGGTATTTTAGTCCATATCCTATTCTCCCTCTTCTATCATCATTCTCTTCCTTCCAGGACGAAGATTGACAGTTGTACTGTAGTCAGGAATCCGAACCTCCGGGGTCGTGCTGAGCACGGTATTTCGGTTATTCGATTTGGATTATAACATGTACCTCCCTTACACTCCATACAGGTAAAGGCACGCTAACGCACCCAGATATGTCATCTCAAACAACACCCTCGAAACATCCTCAAATGCACAAATCATCAACGATAACATCCTAACAGCAATCCTACCCAAGATGCCGGTGGGCGTTATCTCAGTTGAACAAGCGATCGCGGGCATAAAGCGGTCTGCTAGTCACGATTAGCTTCTTCTAACTAGCCGTTATTTCCCTTCCCGTTTCTGTAGATCAGGTATCCATGATAGGCATGGAAACATTCTCCGCGAGGCTTGGTCGTCGTGGCGATTCATGCATAAATAAACACAAGCACAACAATGACATAATTATGCATTGCATGAAATCACTCAGAAAAAGTGCATTGCTTTTCTATGTACACTCAATCAATCTATAATAATGCTGAATCAATGCCAATCAATAACAAGGACGATCAAAAAACGAAAAAAAAAAAAAAAAAAAAAAAAAAAAAAAAAAAAAAAAAAAAAATAGCAATATCAACATTAGTATGTACTGTACTCTGTACGCGTACTGACAGGATCAGGATTAGTATCTATCATAGTCTCGTCCGCGGTCGCAACGCCACTAACAAGAGGGAATGAAAATCACAAGCAGGAGACAAAAACAATGAAATAAAAATCAACCCATGCAAGCGCCGTAATGGTATTGTCGTCGGCGGGTCGTGATATGTTACACCGGAGGCAATTAGAAGGTAGGATGGTGGTTGGTGGGAGAGGAGAGGTGACAGGAGACTACCGCTCTGGCTTCTGTGCGATAATGCGATAACTCGTAGTGATCAACCGCTTATAATCCATCTCCACAAACGCCTCACCGTCCATACAAAGACGGTTAATGAGCGTTTTAAAGTGTGGCGGCAACACGCGCACCTTGACCAACGCAAGGATCACCCCGCGCATCGTGCGGAAGTACGTGTCCACCGTCTCGATCAGCGGCGCCTGCAACCCGTCTATACTAGCATTATCCGATCGCACCACGCTAAACCCGGCGTCGCTGAGGGCGTCCTCGAGGAGTTTGGGCGTGGGGGTGCCGACGGCGCCGATGAGCGGTTTCACGCGCCGCATGAGTGCTTCGTGCTCGGGGTTATTCGAGTCGTAGGCGTCGAAGCTTACCCAGTCGAGCATGGAGAAGCGCGCGCCGGGTTTGAGGACGCGGAAGATCTCTGCACACAGCTTGCGCAGGTCCTTGCTTAGACTAAACGCTTGGATCTGGTAGAAGGCGTCGAAGGAGGAGTCGGCGAAGGGGAGAGGAAGGACGTTGAAATCCTGCTCGACGAATTTGTTTTCCGTAAAGCCCTGCTTTGTGTTGAAGTCGCGCGCCTGCGCGATCTGGTTCGGGTCGATGTTTAGACCCGTGATGTGTGCGCCGGAGACGGCGGACATGTGTGCTGCGACACGGCCGCGACCACAGCCTAGATCAAGCACGCGGTCGCCGGGTTTCAGCTGGAGATCGCGCGTGATCGACACCTCGTAGAGTAACTGGTTTTCGAGCACGGAGGCCTTGCGACTCATAAACGGCGGGACGTACATCTTCTCGACGTCACCCAGGGCGCAAAGATGATTCAGCACGCCATAGTACGATTTCAAACAGTCACCCACTTTCTCCTGGTAATTGGGTCCCAGGGTCTCGACCATTTGCTGCTCGTTGGACCAGTCCAGGTTGTAGATGACATAGGAGGCCATGAAGTCATCGACCTCTTTCTGGTTAAGATTCGCCAAGTAACGGAAGGCGGTCCAGAAGCTTTTCCAGCGCTTGGGGGCGGCTGCGGTGTCGTTGAGCTCGGAGAGGTCGTTCCCTTGAGCATCTTTCTTGGATTTCCGGGACTTCGACTTCTTGCTCTTGGTGGTGGCTGTGATGCCGTTCAAGACGAGCTTCTGCTTCTCGGTCGCAGCGCCGTCCAGCGAGCTGCTATCGGAGCTCCGGCCAGAGTCGGGAGATGCGAGCGCGGTGGCCATTGTCAGGTTTCAAGCAGAGAGTGTAAAAGCCAGGAGCATGTCACGTCACGGTAGTGTGAAAGAAAGGGAAGGAGAAGATCTGAAAAAAAAAAAAAAAAAAAATTCAGAGGAAAGAGGAGAAAAGAGGGACAGAACAGGTTATATAAGCAGCATAGGGATCAACAGCAGCGATTTTCATTTGGCCCGGTTTGGGTAAAGAACCGGAGAGAGCAAGGGGAAAAAAAAAGAGGCACGATGACTCGCCGGAAGTGACGGCAGAGCCTGTCGGGCCGGAATGTGAGGCCGACGTTATATTCGATGTGCTTGTACTTGTGTATATAGTGCAGGACTACGGATATAGATTGATGGAGCTCGGACGGAAATGACGCATTTACCGCTTTTTGCATGAGTAGAAGTATACAAGATGAGTATGTTCTTCCGGTCAAACTCTTCAATGCAAACTCTCAACTCCGTGCTAAATCCGTGATCCGACTCCCGTACGCTCCGGCGCCTCTTATAAGTTAGCTCTACCCTTTACATAGTACCATGGTCATGATACAGTCTAACCAAACACCGGTCGGGATAGACGGGAGTGACTAAGCCCATCACCTGATGGTCCCTGAGATCGGCAACTTGGCATGCACGATGATGCAATGGAAACATAGGTGACGAGTGAGAGTATATAGGACATGTACACGGGTACTTGAAGATACAAACAAAGTAAAGAAACCAGTACAGATCTATGGTACAGATAAGTATCTACAGGTATTCTTGCACAGACTCTGCAGTGGGCCCAAACAAGGTTAGCGCACGCGCCGGCTAACTCGGCCCAGCCCTCGTGTCACTTTCCCAGTTAGGCAAGTACCTCCTGTCGCGCGCTTATCTAGGGCTGACTGGCCGGAAAAACCCCTTCTGTCATAATAGAGACGCGCGATACTCTAGATATTGAATACTTGTTGATTAACTAACTACATGTATTGCTATATTCATGGTATTTCCTACTTGTATCGACCATATACACGCTGATCCCCGTGCGGAGAAGGATTGCGATCGTCCGATCTCCAGCCCGCTAAGGGCGTCATTCTGCATACAACTGAAGAGGATTACACTGACAAGAGTCTGGAGTGTGGAGAGACAACTCATTGACCGCGTATGGAGTACTATGACATACTGAATGTCGGTATGATGTATGAGATCTGTCATATTATGTCGTGACCATGTGTATAAACAAAATGCTATCATATAAACCATAAACATCACATATGCTCTTTACACTCTCCCCGTCATTTTCTTTTCGACACTATATCTGGTGAGGATATCCCTGTGGGTACTGGGGGTATGCCTGCGGGTACCCCTGCGGCGCCGCCTGCTGTGGCGTCAACAACGGCGTCGCATTGACCTGAACCCCTCCTGCCCCAGCCCCAGCCCCAGCCGCGTCCTGTGGCTTTGGGTCATTCGCAGCGAACATCATCGACATCCGATCAAACTTGACCTCCCCGTTCGATGCCGCCGCCTCATCTGACACCGGAACCATCGAGTATGCCGATGAGCCAGCCTGCAACAATGCCTTTTGCTCTTCCTTGCGACGGCGCATGATGCGCTTACGAATAGCGAGCGCAATAAAGACGATCGCGATTATTCCACCAAGCGAACTGAAGGCTGCGATTGCGGCGATGTTGCCGACGCGGTTGCGTTCGGCAACTTCGGGCGAAACCGTGCTGGTTGCGCTGGAGGTGCTGGTCGTGGTGCTGCTGGTGGATGTTGTTGATGTGCTGGATGTGCTGGAGCTGCTGCTGGAAGAACTGGTGGAACTGGTTGTCTCCGACGAGGTCGTGCTGGTCTCTGACGAAGTGGTTTCTGAAGAGGTCTCTGAACTAGTCTCAGAGGTACTTTCCGCAGTGGTTTCCGCAGTGGTTTCAGCGCTCGTTTCAGCGGTCGTCGCAGCGTCAGCCGTCTCCGTTGCGTCCGTCGCCGTGTCGGAGTCGTCCGTGGAGTCGTCAGAGTCCTCCGTAGAATCCGCTCGCTTCTGCTTGACGAGCGTCGTCCATGTTGGGGCGCTGCTGGGTGGTGGTGTTGGGTCTGGGATGCTGACAGTGCGCGCAGGGAGAGCCTGGGCGGGAGTTTGCGCCGGCTGGTCGGCGCATGCCAGCAGACAGAGAGTCTGTAGGGCGAGAAGTATTGACAGTTTCATTTTTGTTTTTTTCTGCTCTTGTTCTTTTCTTCTCTTGAACCTCTTCTCTCTCACAAAATCCGAAGCAGTGAGGAATGAAGGAGAAAAATCGTCAAAGGAAGGAGAAAAATAACGAGGCTGAGCGGTCTTTATCTCTGCAACCATTCAGAGCCCGCCATGAGACCGCACCAACCAACGCGGCCACCCCACTGTGAACTGTTCCAATAGGTATAGGGCAGTGTATTTTTAGTATAAGGCTAATTCTTTATCCAGCTTTGCATTAGTTACGCGCTGACTTTGTTGCGACATCTTTAATATAAAGCAAGACAAACAGAAGTACTATCATGCACGTGATATTACCTGACGCGCACGTGATATCACCTGACGAGCACGTGCAGGTGGCTGGCAGCGGAAATTTCTGCCTGACATTCTCATCGGCGCTAACTAGTTAACCAAGTTAGTTAACTACATAGTTAGTTAATTAACCTGCTGCCTGCCTGCCTGCTGCCTGAACATAAGGCGGACAGATCATGTGACTACCCAGGCAATGTCGGCAATCTCCGATCGTCATGGGACCCATTGGGTATATACAAATTCTTCTTCAGCCTCAACCTTTCCACATCGGGCAATCTAATCTATATGGAGCCTTGTGCCGGTACGGAATACGGACACTGACTACTATGGAAGAACCGTGACTCAAGGCGCAGGATCTCCGCTAAGGCCCTTAGTTCCTTGGCTTTGGTTCCTGGACCAATGCTAAGCTTCCGGTGTAATTTCACTTACTTTTTTGACTTTTTGAGGTTCGTATTTGGGTGCTAAAATGGGGGTCTACAGGGTCTTTGCGGTTAGGCTGAGCCTTGCAGAGTCTGCCTGGCGGTGTATATAAGGATCAGGGTCTCAGGGTTTTTGTTCGGAATTTTCTCAGCCAGACAGACACGGTCAATTGAAATCCTCCTACATCAATATAACGAATCATCCAAACACCATCAACATGAAGTCCTACATCCCCATCCTGGCCCTAGCCACCACCGCCCTCTCCCAAACAACCACCCTCAAAGTCTTCGACGCCGGCGAATCCGCCCTCCCCCTAACCGACATCGCCGCCAGCGTCGTCAAAGTCAACGCCCTCGAAACAATCCTCGCCCTAAACTGCGCCCCCAACGCCACAGCATCCGTCTGCCCCCTTGAAACCCCCTTCACTCTAACCTACGGCCCCTCCACCGCAACCCTCAACGCCGCCTACGCCACCAATACCCGCGGCGTGCAGGCTAAAATGTCCCTCCTCGAGGGCTGCGACATCGTTTCGTCGACGCAGGGCGCGTCGTGCTCCATGTCTATGGTTGTGGGGATGAGTGTGCGGGGTGTTTCGACGTCGACGACTACTAGTACGACTACGTCGTATGGGTCGGAGGATATTACGTATCGCGATTTGGCGGTTACCGCGGGTGTGAGCAAGTTGACTGCGCCGGAGGCTACGCAGACACCTGAGGGGGGTGCTGTTCCGGGGGCTGTTGTTAATGGGAAGGGGATTGGGGGGCTGGCGGCGGCGGCTGTTGCGGCGGCTGCTATGTTTGTCTAAGCTTATGCTTATGCTTATGCTTATACGTAACGGATGCATTTTGGCTATGAGCCCGCGGTGATGTTTTGTTTTGATTTCTACTGAAAATAATCCGCTTTTATACCCTTGTCAAATATATACCAATTTGGTTAATACACACAAAAGAAATTGTTCACTATCTTGTGCGTAGATATATCTCAGATATAACCTGCCTCTGCCCTCAAACTGCACCCGTGGATGATCTCCGAATTCGAGTCATATTGCCAAAACTTTATGGAAAACCGTGTAAGAGTCCGAAGCTACCCCCGAGCATACAGACTAATCTCTCTCCTTTCAGTACTGGGAAAAGGCCTTGAGCGCCTAATAGCCTGCAGAATGGCATGGATTGCTATTAAATAAAAAATCCTCCACCCACAGCAATTTGGGGCTCTCCCACTGCGTTCTGCAACAGACCTAGCCACTGCTTTGATCCATGATGTTGAGGAGGCATGGTCATGAGGTCTGAAAGCCTCCATGCTCACACTGGATGTGCAAGGCGCTTTCGACACTGTCCTATCAGGACGACTGATCAGATGACTTCAGGAGCAGGGATGGCCTATTAATGTGATCCGATGGGTAGCTAGTTTCACCCAAGGTTGAACAGCCAGCCTCCGCCTAGGGAACCACATGAGTCAGACTTTCCAGGTTCCAGCGGGTCTCCCACAAGGCTCCCCAATCTCTCCAATCCTCTTCATGTTATTCATTGAGCCCATCTTCAAACAAGGCTCTCTCCGCTCCCGACGTGGCTGATTTGGATATGCTGATGACATATGCCAGCTAGTGGCTTCCCCCCTCCTTGGAGGAAAACTGTACAGTGCTCCAGCACTGCACAGAGGAGCTCAGGCAATGGGGAGCTAGAGAAGGCCTCACCTTTGACTTCAACAAAACAGAACTGCAGCACTTCACATGTGGAACCAACCATTCCAACCCCACATGCTCTATTCACACCACTCAAGGCTCACACAGTCACACCTCCCCCTCCTGGCGGTGCAACACACTGGCTAGGCATCTGGTTTGACTGGAGGTTGAGCTTTAGCAAATGCTGCAGGACCCTTGTCACGGGCTCGGAATAGAAGATAATAACGAACTGAATTCCTATCTTGACTATTGTAGCCATCAACGAGAATATCGAATCTGGGAAGGAAAAAGGAGAGGAAATCTATCTGGCGAGTACAGTCTCTATATAGGCCTTTGTGCGATGCGGCTTGAGCCCTTGTTTGTCCATATTGCTTGTATGGCATCTTTTGGCATGTTGGCACTGTTTGTCTGGTCGTTGAGCCGTCACAACCCTGGCTGCCAAGGCCAGACAGACAGCTGTTGGTATCAAATCACTAACCAATACAGTCAGAGGGACTAGGGCACACCTACTGCAGCAGGCTACAATCACCTGTGTCATCTCAGTCCTTTGCTATGGGGCTGAGGCCTGGTGGCCGGGTTGAAACAGGCCCAGGCCCAGGAACCAGGGCTCTGTATCAAATCAAGTTGATTCCTCCCTCTCTCACCTTGACCAGGTACTCAGAGATGCTCTCCGAGGTACTCTCCCAGTATACCAGACCACCCCCATTCCAGCTCTCCATCAAGAAACTGCCATTCCCCCAATGGAGATCATCCTTGACCAGAAGCGCACTGCGGCCAGATTGCGTGCCTTCAGTTTAGACAATTGCCACCCAGTTTGCAGGCACATATTCCAAGCGCAATTTTTTCCTGCAAACACACACCTAACCCACAATCACCTGCCATGGCTGGAGGGGGTAGAACAGACTGACCCTCTGTTATATCCCCCCTGGCAGGCAGAGGACCCCAAAACAATCCAAAATATTTATTCCACCCAAGACAGGGCAGATGCAACCTTTCAACAGTGGGCTGATACATGCCCTCCACTCTCCATGTTCCTCTTTCCTGATGGCAGTCACTTGAGCAACTCAGACACTGTGGCTGGCGCCGGATGGTATGGATACTGGGGAGTGTGGAAGCAGGAATCCACCTGTGGCCATCTCTCCCTGCCACATCATGAAGTCTTTGATGCAGAGGCCACCGCAGCACATGAAGGACTGAAGGCAGCCATCAATAGTGTCCAGGCCCCATATACACAGAACCTATACCTCCTCCTTGACAACCAGGAGGTGGCACGACAGCTGCAGGGCCTTCCTAGAGGCTCTAGCCAACAGACCATCCAGGCTGTTCAAGAAGCCATGGATGCCTGGCCCAACCGGTCCTCCCGGTGCCCGGCTATCCCACCCAGGCAAGTTCACGTCCACTGGATTCCTGGAGACCTGGACATACTGGTATCAAAGGGAACGAGCAGGCAGATTTTCAAGCAAAAAGAGGAGCAAGGTCCACTCCACAGACCAACTCCCCTCCTGCAAGATACACCTGGGCTCACTGGACATTGAAGGAAGAATTCTGGTGATGATTTCAATCTTTTTGGGCTGAGAACGCACCACAGCAATATCAGGACCTCTCCATAGGCCTGGATAAACGACCCCATGAACTATCTCTCCCCAGAGCCACCCTCGGCCGACTCCTTGCTGCCCGGTCAGGCCATGGAGACTTTGCCCAGTACCATGAATGGTTTAGACATGAAGATGCAAAGATAGAATGCTCATGTGGGAGCCAAAAATCCCCCCACCACTTCAGCACTTCTACTTCTGCCGGAAAGGCCACAAGGCATCCCCACATCCATGGGGAAACCAGCAGGTAGATGAAGTCCTGCGCTCTAAGTCAGGAACAAGAAACTTCCATGAATGGTTGCAGAGGTCTCACTTTTACCGCACGATATGCCCCGCGCTGCCGCGCACTAACCAACTCCACTTCAAAACTCTTCATGATCTTCCTCCTAACCCCCCTCCTTCCTTTTTTTCGCCTCCCCCTTCCTCCACAGAATGTGTGCGCCACTGAACGCGGCCCCAATAATCATAGGCGGGCTCCTATGGGAGAGCTTTTGCAAGCATGTATGATAAAATTAGCTTAGCTACTACTAGATAGGCGAGTCCGCTCCGGGATCTCGGTGGGCACGTGACCAGCGCACGTGCCACTTTTCCGACGTAAAATAGAAACTACTATTACTATATGCAGAAAATAGCTGAAATGGAGTGTTTAAAAAGCAGTCAGTCTCGTATCAATCAAAGTAATATATTTTGCCCTATATACAAGTAATCGATGTTTTGCATCTTCTGATCGGAGATAAATTCTAACTCCGATTGACCGTGATGAAAGTCAAGGTGGATTAATAGTTGGTCCGATTACCGAGGCCGACATACCCCTCATATACGGACACACACACTCGGTTTAGACAAAACGAGTACTCATTCTATCATCTTGGTGTCTATAGAGATCAATGTTATCCTCCTTAGTGTAATTAAATTCGTCGCCTATAGCCTCGTGCTGTCCGGATAATCGACTCCCCCGACTTCCCCGATACGGAGGTTTAACCGCTACATTGGTTTATCCGTTTCAGACCGGATGGTATATCCACGTGACTCGGAGCTAGATTATTGATGCCTTAGGCGCCACGAGTAGCCTTCTCTATGTACAGCTCCATCTTTTAGCTATCTCAAGTCCCTCCGCAATAGCAACAACCCTCGTTTCGACCGCATACCCTTCACTCTCAAGCTTTTTCAACTCCGAGAAAAGCGATGCCACAGGGACGGTAAAGCACTCGATAAACTCACCCTCCTCCGGTTGCGCTTGGGGCTGCTGATTCTCCGGCAACGACAAGTCTACGTCCACATAGACGTACCGGAAGTTATTGTTACAGAATGCCGGTGCTGAGTTCGTGTCAATCGGTGTCGGTCAATCAACGCGAGAGCAAACAGGCACAGGACTCACAATTGAAGAGAAGATTCCCTTTACTCTCCGCAACTACACCCATATACCCCGTTTCCTCCTTCAACTCCCGCACGGCAGCTTGCTCCGGATTTTCCCCGGCATCGATCATACCTCCGGGAATCTCAATGGCTATCTTGTCGATGGAAGGTCGGTATTGCTTCAGCAGCAGAAGTTCTGGACCCGTGCTCTTGGGAAAGATGGTCACCACGCTAACCCCGACGACTGAATTAATACCTGCGGGCCGTTTTTGATACTCCCCGGATTCCCAGGAGCGTTGGACACTATTGGGATCGAGATATGTTGTTTTCACTAGGCGTTTCCATTGGGCTTCTTCGGCGTTCTGTCTGCGTCAGACGGGTTTTGGTTTGGTTACAGGCAGAATTAGGATTACACGTACCAGCGGGCCCCGAGAAAGGATTTTGGGCATGGGGTATTTAAAGTCTGGCATATCGTCTCTTTTATTTATGCTGTATTGCTTGTTCTATTGGATGGTAGAGGTTGACAGGATTTTGTCCGGTCGGATGCGGGGCAGCGGGATCCGATTATTTGCACCCGAGATACTATTCTCTGCCCTAATACCTCACAGGATCGAATTATAACATCTAATCTGGTATTGAGATGGTTTCATTGATATAATTAATTATTTACACTTGAGTCCCGTTTTGTCGTGCCTTAGCGATTGCGCATTCGCATAACCTCACAAGTTCGGTGGTGAAACCATCTAGGAATCGCAAGTGGATTACTTCGCCCAATGTGAGCTTCCGGATGGGGATTCTTCGGATCAGGTCAGGGACTTCACGGAGTATATTCATGTGGTGGTTTATTTCGGAGTCGAGAGCATTGTGGAGGATGTTACGGAAGAGGGTGAGAATGGCTGTTATAGCGTAGAAAAGGACGACCCTGTAGTGAAGTTAATACAAGGGCTATATGGAGTACTATTGAGATGATATCTACTTACCAAAAGCATTCTCCCTTGACCACCGGCATTGCAGATTTTAGATAAGAGAGCGTGGACCGGCTGGCATTGATGGTAAGGCTGATACTGGAACGGATTCCATCATGTTCAGGTCCATATTCTTCAGAGTATTTGCATCGTTCACTCGCTTGGTGGATGATAGTCACGCAATGGTAGTACGCGAGTCGCAACATGGTTGTCTGCGTGTTCATCGCAACAGCAGGTGTCTCGGGTGAAAACCATAGCGTCGGACGGAAGTCCGAATGCAAGGAAAGTCTCCACTGCTCCAGCGCCTCGTCCAGCTTTAGAATAGTTGACAAAATCTCAGTATCTGCTTTGCGACGCGCGCTGGCGGAGTAAAACGCTTGGTATGCTTCGGACTTTATCTGTGAAAGACGAAGGTCGAAAGGATAGAGCGGGACTGTGTGGTCATCGATCGACAAGGTTTCCCGTAGAATATTTGAGTCCTGTAGCTGTGCGTAGCCTGTTGGAAGGGTGAGGTCGCAGCATGTATCATGAATTGAAGGTGGCTGTCCAGTTCTTAGACAAATATCTTTGTCGAACGAATAGCACAGCCAGAAGAGATCGCGCAAATGGCACTCTGGAATACTCTTGTTGTATGATTGAAAGCTATCAGATGGTGCATGAGCACCGAAGGCGTATAGTAGTCTGGTAGCGATTGACACGGAGACTGCTGCAGCTTGCAAGTCTCCTAGGAAGTATTGAAATTGCACCTGACATCTGTTAGGATTCATCTTCCTTTTTCAAAGAGCCGTATATATCACATACAAGCATTATTAAAGATTGCAGTCCATCGAGAGTCATTTCCTGCGTAATCCGAGCCATGAAGCTCTGGGCAGCCGAAGCATAAGAGCCACAATCCATAGCTCCGTGCATGTTATCATCAAACCCAAACTGAGTTACCACAGACAGAAACGCATAAATGCAAGACTTAGCACTAGCTGAGCCAGCAATGTGCGCCGGCCCATAGGCAAGATTTAATGTTCTAGTGAACAGCGATTTGCTGATCACCGGGAAGACGGGGATGTGGAGCGACGAGCAGTACATCTCCGCGTAGCTCTCGACAATCAACCGGTTGGGAAGTACTGGGATACTAGACTCAGTATAGAGTCGATATGTGTTCGCCCATGGGAGTTCAAGCGTCTCGAGGTTGACCTTTTCTCCTGTTCGGGATTCGATCCATTTCCGGCCTGCATCGGAGAATAGGTCAATCCCGTTGAAAGGGCCCATGGTCCCTGCTCGAATTGGCGAGACATCTGAAGAGCATTAGCTTTCATATGATTGTATCGAGATAAGATTCACCGTACATTGACGATCATCGGCATGGGTCTCTTTCGCCTTCTCGGAGGACTGGTTTCCTCGGCCTCTACCCTGAGAGCGTGCTCCCGTGTCGGAAAGTCTACTGTATGTGCAAGCGAGATTATGATGCTTGCACCAATTGCATTGTGGAGACTCTGCATCGCATTGTATCTAGAGCAGTTAGCATCACTCAACATCTTGTACCGTAATGCATACCTTTTTCCTGAAACATGAATCGCACACCTTGCGCCTACGCCTCTTATACCGCGATGCTTTCGGCACTAGATCTTTGGGCATATCTGACACTATAAACGCCTGGAATTCGAATAATTGACCGGTGACTGCTTCCCCTTTGCCCTTTGGTGTCTTTTTTATATCTCGGCAAGAACCAATCAGATTATTTTCCGCTGAGTAATCGGATTTCAGCGAACTAACTAAACGTCATGATACAAAAAAGGAGAAAAATATTCATTTCCTTCAAGAAAACTACCGGGTATGGACATGTGTCCTCATTTTTCCAATACGCTTCAATTCCTCTTCACCGGAAGCTCATTCTCACGGAGGAAATCGGGCCATTTCTGGAGAGACAAGCCCGGGATCTGTTCACCTGTTAGTTGACCGTCGGATATATCATGAGAATCCACATACCTCTCTGGCTTGAACAAACTCCTCCCGAGCATAGATGTTCCCGAATTCCTCGAAGATCAACAATTGCTCTGCAAAGTCCACCGCCATTTCCGCAGACATGCCGTCCCGAGATTCGAGGATCTTCTGGAACTCATCGGCGCTGATCTTACGGTATTCTGTTGAGATGTTGTATCCTAAAAAAGATGGTCAGCCGTGTTTCAGATGGGGCCCTTGTCGCGACATACTCTTGCCTAGTGCAGCTAGCTTCTCCGCCTCCGAGAGGGCTTGGGAATAGAATGCGATTGTCTTGGTAAAGTACTCCGGGCCAGCCTCGAGGACAGTCCATACGAGTTTACCTGTGTCAGCAATAGCAACATTGGGCATCACCGTGTCCGGGCTATGTGGGAACAAGAGAGTATAGACCCCATTCGCATCCGGCACAGGCAAATACCTCTCCGGAGATGTGAGGCAATTCTCAAAATAATTCGGAAAAAGAATGGTCGTGGTCTTCGCCCACAATTCCGGCTTCTCACGTTGGATATACTCAGCCACCAGACTCTTGCTCTTCCAGTGATTAACCTTCATAAACCGGCCACCAGATAGCCTCTCTGGGTCCGGTAGCGCACTCCAGACAAAGTGCTCGATAGTCGGGATCCGGGCCGCAGCGTCTGCGATAGACTTGCCTTGCACAATTTCGACAGAGGCGGATTGCTTTTGCCAGAAGTCGGTCAGGGCATATATGGCGTGCGCACCGGAGAAGGCGGCCGCGAGGGCATCAGCGCCGGCGTCCAGATCGGCGCGTTGGACCTCAGCGCCTCGCGCGGCGAGAGATTGGGCTGCGGGCTTGGTAGGGTTACGTGTGATAGCCCGGACTTTGTAGATGTCGGGGTGTTGGAGGAGCTCCGATACCACGGAGCCGCCCTGTAGAGACTATATTAGCGTTTTGCACAAAGAAGGAAGGTATATGGGCTGATCAAACCTGTAGGCCGGTAGCACCGATTACAACAACTGTTCGAGGAGCCATATTCGCTTGTATTGAAAATTTAAGAGAATGTATTTTGATTTGATATGATTAATAGATGATCGGTTCTGAGCAGGGCGAGGTGGCCTATTTATATCCACACCTCGTGATAGAAGCAATTCCAAGTTTGTCATAAGCCTTGGATCTGGATCTACTTCTTGACAAACATGGAGTCTCTTTTGGGTTCCTAATTCGGGTTTGTACCTTGTAGATCATCTCAGCACCGCTTAATCATCGGATTAGGTTGCTTGATCGCTGTAGATCTAGGCGATCGAGATCGGACTCGCTGCATAGCAAGCCCGAGTTCCGAAGTCCTCTATATGCAATACAGTCTAGATTAACAAGCCATGATCTTTGGATTTGAGTCATTACATAGGGTCTGTCGGTGTCCGAATACCCTTCTGGTCCGATTGGATCTTCTCTCTACCGGATGGATATGGTCCGCTTAATCATCGGAGATACTTAGGATAAGGGCTCAAATAGGTGAAGGGCTCACAAATTAACATTGTTATTCAATGGTATAAATGCATCATGCTCTCAGTCTCTTGCCTGAATGAATCCCACACCACAATGACCCAAACCGTCATCCTCATCACGGGTGCAAATCGAGGTGAATCAAACAACTCCAACACACCATTAGCCCTGATCTGACTCTGCCATAGGCATCGGAAAAGGCCTTGTAACCACATACTTGGCCAGAGCAAAGACCACCGTCATCGCAACAGTTCGGGAAGGATCAGTCGAGAGCACCTGGGGACTACATTGTCTGCCAACGGGCCTTGATTCACAATTGATCATTGTCTCTCTCAGTCTCGATATTCCATCCATCATCACTGACGCAATCCACCAAATCCGAACGGAGCATCACATCGAGCACATCGACCTCGTAATCGCCAATGCCGGCATCTGCAACCACTGGGGACCGGTGGTGGACATGAAAGATTCGGACTTGATGTCCCATTTCGAGGTGAATACCTTGGGACTCTTGAGATTGCTCAGGGCCACGGCTCCATTTTTACTGTCTAGCAAACAGCCCAAGTTTGTCTATATATCTTCCGAACTAGGGAGTATCTCCGGAGTTGCACAATCGTCGCCTTTGACCGCTGCATATGGAGTTTCGAAGGGGGCGGGAAATTACTTGGTTAAGAAGATCGATGCCGAACATGCGGATCTTGTTGCATTTTCGACTGATCCTGGGTATGTCTACCATGTTGACTGAATATACTTGCTCGCTGACATATGCCAGATTTGTCCAAACAGATATGGGCAACCGTGGCGCGCAGTGCAATGGATTAGAAAGAGCGCCGATGACTATCACGGAAAGCGTCCAAGGAATTGTCAATCAGGTATGTATAATTACTTGCGTCCAACATATCAGAGACCTGACTTGATTTCACTTTCCAGATAGACGGGGCCACCAAGACCACGACATCTGGTCAGTTTATCAGGTATAGCGGTGATCGGTTGCCGTGGTAGATCGTATAACTAGTTTACAAATATTTGTAACTTGAACCATAATATAACTGATCACACTTGATATCCAGCCAGTAACCCTTAGAAACGTTACAAGTAATGTGACCAAGTATACATTCATTACGAATACCCTGTCCAAGCGCTAAAAACCTGCATTTACCCGCGTATAGTAGGACAGAGTGGATGATATCAAGCGTATATAATGGCAAACATCCACTATATCAACCATACTCTGTCAAATCATTCTCTATACTTGTGTTGTTCGCAACGAAATTCACAAAGTCTCCAAGATACTCGCCTATCTACTCACAATCTCCTACCTTGTCGATGAAGCCTTACAGAAATATGCGGATAACATATTATCCATGTGTCACTCCCTTGTTTGCTCTTGCCTACCGTCCTATATAACACTCTAACAATTCTACAGAGTCTAAGAGACATTCGAGCCACTAGGTGCCAATATTGTGCGAATTGCAGGCTCTCCTCCTAGACAAAGCTCGATGTATAACTGACACTTGCGGAATCATGGTTTCTTTTTATGGTTTTAATTGCTGATATGGCATATGCTAGGGGGCTTTCATTGAATAAGCTCAATGCTGTCAATCTGGGTGATGATATGTCGGTCAATGTTATTGAGGTTTGAGCGATGATGAGATGTCAGGCGATGTCAAGTATATGTTTCTTCTAAGCAGCGCTTACTTGAATAAAGTAAATCGAAGAGGTATGCCTCAAAAAATCAAGCATTTCTACATTACTGTGTACCGCGAGGACCACATCCACAACATCTAGTACTCACCATCTCCACATCTCCAAACTCGCTCACTCCCCACAACCTCTCCGGCATAGGAGGCGGCTCCTTTATCTGCTCTTGAATATGTCTAGAAGCCTCCAAAAACCTCTCTCGCACCTTCCCCCAAGCGAGCACCTTATCCACCAACTTAAAGTCCCGTTTCCGGAACTCTCCATCAACAAGCACATGCGCGACATCCCCTGGATTCGCATGCAACACCACAGCCGCGATGGGATCACTCCATCCCAGCATATTCGGCGAGTCGCCGTTAAACACCACCAAATCAGCTTTAGCACCGACCTTGATTACACCGACATCATCGCGGCGCAGGGCGCGACCGCCTCCTCCACGGGGAAGGGATTCGTCCTTGGCAGTTTCCCTGCTTCCAAGGTGCGATGGGATTTAGTTAATCGAACGTTTTGCAACCAGAGACTGGTTTGCGAGAGCATGTCCCCAGAGAATGTCCAGTTTGTGTCGAGGCCTAGGGATGCTTGGTCGCTGATTAGATGGCCGGTGGTTTGTCCGTGGCCGAAGTGGAATTCTGATTCGGGGGTTATTGAGATGAATTGGTTGTTCTCGCGGGGGGGTGGGGGGGTTCCTTTTTGATCTGATTCCGTGAGGAAGGGGGCGTGGGAGTAGATTATAGGAAGGTTGGTGGTTTGGAGGGCGCTGAGGTCGATGTCCGAGGGTGCGGTTTTGCGGGCTGTACTCGTTAGCTGGCTATTCAGTTGTTTGGTCGATAGTTGACATACCAGGCCAGGGACCTCCCAGATGATGCATAGCGATGGCTCGGATGTTCAACTTTCTAATCATCTCCCGCATGTATTTCAAATAACCATCTGGATCATTGCCAAACAAACCCGACAACCCATCAACCGAAAGACCCAACTGCACCGGTGACCCTTCCTTCACTTTACCCCCCAATCCTCCCCATCACCTCCTACTGTTCCTTCATCTCAAGCCCCTCCCTCTCCGCAACATCATAACACCACCACACCCTCGCCCCGCTATCCACCGCCGCATCGAACCCCGGCTCAACAACGTCCGCCTTCCAATTATTATGCGCATGCTCAACATACGACGTAACACCTCCATGCAGTCCCTCAATATACCCCTCCAACGAACTGATATACACAACATCCGGTGTAAACGCCGCCGTAGCGGGGGACATATGGCCTAGTCATTCGAAGTACTGCGATAGGAAAACATTGGGTCCAATGGTGCGGTATACTGTCTGCCATGTGTGGATGTGAGTGTTGGTAAAACCTGGAAAACACTATTTTGCCGTGGACGTTTATTATTTCTGCATATTGGGGGATTGGGAAGTCGGAGTCTTCTGAGATTGCTGCGATGCGGTCATTTTCGATTATGATTGAGGCCTTTGGGAGGACGCGGATTGATTGGGTGCTGTCGTCGAAAGTCAAGGCGGTGCCATCTTTTAGAACTTTGGTCATGGTTATTGTATATGGTGAAAATAATCAATTGTTGAGGATGGTGCTAGCTACTCTGTATATTGACGGTTTATATCGACCCCGCGAACCCACGGTCGGTGTTCAGTGATGTCGGTGTCCGAGACATCATTGCTGGACCAAGCTATATCGCCATAGAAAAAAAGAGTTGCTTATCAATGTAGAATAAATGGAATAGTACGTGAGCAAAGCTAACGATGCAGAAAATACATACAGCGCAGGGACCGCTTGCTAAGAAACAAATATTCCAACGAAAGCATCGATGTCCATGATAATATTGCTCCATTCTCACCAACACCAAATCGAAACCCGATCTTGAATAACACCCTGCGCATCAATTCCGTTGGCATGCGTCCGGTCAGGCTCCCAATATACCACACGTTGAAGGCCGGGCTGAGTGAGATGCTCAAGGTAATCCTCCGATAGTGCCATGTACGGCGGTCCCATTTCCGAAGGATCTAGATGTCGAGGGTATTCGAGACAGATTAGACGACCGGTTGGAGCGAGGAGTTGTGCTTTTCGCTGACCCCATTGAGGACGGAGGGATGGGTCTAGTGCGCAGAAGAACTATATTTCAATGAGTGACCGACCAGGGATGGGGGGCGGGGCCGATGGAAACCTACCGAGTGGTCATAAATCACGTCATATTCTCCCCGTCCAAGCCCTAGCCCTTCTAGCCATGCATCATTGAAGAAATCGCCCTGCACGAAAGTGACATTTCCCCGACCAACCTCTTCATCTCGAACTGGGTAATCATCCCGCGCTTTGCTTCTGCTCTCCTCCGCTTTGCACAACTGCACTGCCGAATGACTATATTCCAGACCATACGCATCGTACCCGAAGCTGGCGAGAAGAAGGACATCAAGGCCACTGCCGCATCCGGGTACAAGAGCTTTCTTTCGGTATCGTCGTCCGTGCTCGTCTAAGGTTATCGGACCCCCGAGGATGGACCGATGTTGGAGGAGGGTGTCTTCGAGGGCTGGGTTTGAGCATCCCATATCCCAGTCTACATAGTCGCCGCCTCGTTCCCAAAGGTCTGCCCAGCCTTTGACGTAGGCTTCTTTCCCGTACTGGGCGAGGAATTGGGGGACGACAGATGTGGTGGTGGTGGTGGTGGTCGCCATGTTGGATTCGAAATGGTTCTTTTTTCGCCGTGATTCAAGTTCAGGAGATTGAATTCGAGAATGCTCTGAGGATCTTGAGATCTTTTATATTTACCGTGGTATCGGTTTCTCTTCTTCAATTCGATTGATTTTTCAGCTGCGGGGTCGGCACTGCTGCGGCTGATTGAGGCGGCTGAGATGAAATTTACAGTATGCAGGTTGTGGCTCCACCCACTTCATCAGTTGTCCGTTGAGAGCTGAATTCTTATCCAACCTATGGGAACTGCATCCGATCTAGGCGCTAGGTTCAGCGGTTGCCTGGGTTAGCCGTGAACCGACAATAGGCGAATGTCTGCTGACGTTGGGGGGAGTTGTACGAGATTTGGGGGGTTGCACTCGGATCCGAGCATCAGCTACGGACTTGGGGAAGATCGTACCTTTGTGTGGAAATATACCTAGAGTTTTGAAGTGGAGAGGGTTGATTTGAATATCTACATAGAATTCAATCTACACACACCGACATTCTAGACAGAATAAACAAATCTAGCTAGTCCCATTCATCAAAAGCGATGCTCTCGTAGGAAGCAGTCCCGCATTCTCATAAGACCGGAACGTCTCAATCCACGTCTCGAACGTGTTATCCATCCTCTGCCACCCGAACTTCCTCGCCTTGGTGACCGAGGAAATCGTACACCACGACTTCCCAATAGCCCAGTTAAAGAACCCCCAAGTCCCATAGTCAAAGGCTTCAGGCTTACCACCGTACTTCTTAACAACAGCTTCCCAGACAGGACGCTTATCCTTGGCCCACTCGACCATGTCGATTTCGTTGGCCAGGATGTCAGCCTGACCGGCTGCTTTCTCGAAAGTCAACTCGGGGGCCTCAAGGCCGAAGTATCTAGCGGCGTCTTTCCAGAGATACTTCCAAACAAAGACATCGCCGTTGCAGTGGTTGAAGACCTCATCCTTGCAGTGCTCCTGGGTCGCCGCATAGACAGTCAAGTCAGCCAGACTAGGCGCGTACGAGTTATCATCGATCGAGTTCCAGAGGTATTCGTTTCCGGGGAACTGGGCTGGTTGATTAAGTTCGCGACAGATGAGGAAGTAGATTGCGACGGTTAGGGCCTCGGACATGCCGTTTGCGTGTGGTGCGAAGCCGTTGATGGCGTTGGGGCGGATGATGTTGTGCGACCAGGTGTTGCGGCGCTTTTGCACTTCGCGGATGTAGTCTTCTTGGTCGTAGTAGAAGTTGTAGCCTTGGTCGTCGTAGCGGGGGAACCATTCTTCGAGGGGGATGCGGACGGGACCGAGGTGGGCGCCGTAGTACTAGATCCCTATCAATGAATGCTATCTTCAGACGGAAAGGAGAATGGGGCATACCTTTCCACCCGTCTGCAAAGAAACACGCTGCAACTTCGGGCAAGCCATATCAACGGTATCCATAAAGTTCCTGAATAGCGGGATGTTCTTCTCCTTCAGGACCTTGAAGTCGTCGGTGTGGACGTACGAGGTGAAGAACGCGTGCGTGACCTCGGTGCAGAAATTGTTCATGATGTCCACGATCTTCTCAACAGGATCGAGAAAGTCAATGGCGATGAACTCGACCCGGTGGTCGGTCCAGGTGACAGGCAGTGGCCGTCTGGATGTCACGATGATCTTGCTCCTGCATTCGCTATGTCAATAGCCAGTCGGATAAGTGTACTGTGAATAGACATACCACTCCGTCTGGTCCTTCTTGACCAATTGCTCAATAATAGCATGGCCACTGATGCCATTGGCACCGGTGACAAAGGCGACCTTTCTGGGTTGCAGGACCATGGCTGAAGTATGCTTTGACTGAAAGTTAATGAAGTATATGTATGTCCGAAGTCAACTGAGCCTTGGGTCTCTGCGAGCCTTTATACCCGGTACCTGAAACGCTATATTTATTAGCGGCAGCTAATTTTCTCGTCATTACTGGAAACTCACAACCCAATTTAGCGTTCTTGTTGTTATTCCGTGTATTCCGTGGTCGTCGATATCGGTGCACGGGATTTTGGCGGAACTGTCACGTTTCCGTGGGAATTCCGATACACATACTAGACTACTCGATTTAATTAACTATATATGCTTGTCTAGTTAAAATGCTAGTACATACGACCATAGGGTGTGGAAAACAGGGCTTCCCGTCCGCTCAGCCGTACTTAAGCCACACGCCGGCCGGTTAGTAGTTGGGTGGGTGACCACCAGCGAATCCCGGCTGTTGTATGTTTTTTTTTTTTTTTTTTTTTTTTTCTTTTCTTTCGTTCTGAACGAGCGTAGCGAGTGAGTGAGGCGGGATGAGATTCGGTAAAGAAAACGGTTCATGTTATGATATCGATCGGTGCATTGTTGCCAGTTATATTCCTCGCTCGGCCGTGGAAGGCGTACTCAGGGACAACCTATGGGCAGAACATGAATGGTGCCTTCATGGGCCATCCAGTTACCGATACAGATCAGAAAATTAGTGAGCGGATCGAGGAGATTGCAAAAGCTTGGGGTATTTCCATGGCTGTCATCTCACTGGCATGGTGTCTTTTTAAGCTACTAATCACGCTGCCGATTATGGATATGAGTAAGGAGCGGGTGGAAGAAGCTGTTCAGGCAATTGACTTTAAGCTCTGTGAGGAGATCAAGATCATTGACGAGTTGTATGTTCCTAAGGGAGTTATTGGGCATCGTTGATAGCAGTGAAGCATGTATGTATTTCTCATTCTCCAATTATGCCACTGGTTCTCCCTGCCAGCAAAGTAAGTTCGACATTAACAATTGTGTTGCAAGCACGATTCATCTTCCTTGCGTTAACTAATTGGAGCTGTAGTCAGGCTAGAGTTACTATTAGACACAATAAGCAACAACACGACTAGGGTGCTTCTGCCCCTTAGCGGTACTCACGTTACATGTTAATTCCACACTAGAATCGGTTGAACCCGAGAATACGATACAGGACGCAAATATATTTTGACTGAAATAGTATACCTTTGTCTCATTGGTATGTAGTCGGATAGACCACGAACTACACTACCATTCACATAACTAATATTTTTTAAACCTGAGAAATCAGAGCAGACTTCCACGACTTCCAGAACTTGCCGGAAGACGAAGACAGGAAGGCAACCATTCCCTTCACGTCATCATTGACGCCGTCGCCCTCCATGTCATCGCAGTCTTCCTCCTGCTCTGCATCCTCGACATCGACATGGTTGTACATGTAATCCTCCTTATCCTCATCCTCGTACTCCATTTGAGAGTATTGAGGGAGCTTAACCTTGACTATCGCAGCCTCACTTGGCGTACCATGGATGTCGAGGGCGAACAACATGTACCAGCCGGGAAGGATGATACCCGCATCATCGGGGAGCTTGGCGGTGAACTTGTGGTTACCAAGACAGTCGATTTCGAGAGGAATGCGGCGCTGGTCAGTGTTGACAGTGTGGGTGGCAGTTCCCTGGCGGATTAGAGAGGCCGAGCCGACCATGGAGTTGGTCGAGAACTCGATCGAGCCGCCAACCACCACGTTTTCGGGCGCATTGGTAATGGCGGGACGAGTGCGTTTTTGGCCGTCAGGAGTGAGCAGGTACTGGGGAGTGAAGATCTGGGCGTCGTAGTGGTTCGAGGGGCAGTTACCACAGAGACCACCGCCACCGTTCAGAACAGTAGCGTCAGGGAGTAACATGGAAACACTGTGGTACACACGGACCATGTTGTTGCCGTTCTGGGGTACAAAGGTGTCGGTGTCGGGGTCGTAGATCTCAGGAGTGAACGCGACGGTGCTCTCGTTGAAAGGAGCACCCCATGCCTGGCCACCTGCAATGAAGACCTTTCCATCAGGGAGGACGACGGAGGTGTGGTAGACACGGATGTAGTTCATGCCACCGCCGGAGCCGTTACCGGCCACCTGCACAAGAGGCGGCTCGAGGGGTTCGCCGAGGGTGATTAGATGGGCGTGGTTGGATCCATAGGATCCATCATAGGATGTCTGACCTCCGAAGGTGATGATCTTGCCCTTGGTGGCATCGTACATGACGGCGTTGCCGGAGGTAGAATCGTGGTCGTTCAATCGGCGCCCGGCAGGGATGGTGCTGCCCTTTCCTTGCACGGTATACCAGTTCATTGCAACACTGGGGCCACCCTGGAAGATGGTCTCGTTCTTCCAGCCAAAGAGCCAGGCGTGGTTGTCGGCACGGAACTGGCCCAGTTTGTCATCGGTCATCATGGCAGTGACATCGGTGCCAGAGCGAGCGTACCACTTCTTCTTCTTGGCATTGTAAACCTCGCCGGTCTTGAGCACCTTGTTTCCTCCACTCCAGGAGCCACCGATAGCGAAGATGCGGCCGTCCGAGAGAGTGGTTGAGGCATGATACCCACGAGGCAGCACCAGGTCGTTGCTGCGCAACCACCCATCACCAGTGTAGATGCTGGTTCGCCCAGCATCACTGCCACCGCTGACAATGATGTTGCCGTCAAAGTCCATGGACATTCCGGGGCAGAACATGTCATGCTGAGTGTTGTAGATCAAATCCTGATCGACAGACTTTTTTTGAGGGTTCCAGGTGGTCGTGAGGGTCTTACCACCGGGGGAGGCAAAGTACTTGTCTTCAGACCAGGCAGACCACATAATAATTTCGCCGCTCTTGACTTGAGCAGAGCCAACGGCGATGACAGGCAAATCTATTGTCGGCCCCCAGAGACCCTTGCCAGGCTCGACGGGGACAGTGTAGTCTGCAGTGTAGATTCCGAGGTTGACAATGGTGGTCCATCCTTGCGGGGTACGAGGTGTCTCCGGGTGAGATTCGCTGTCAGCAACAAGCTTGACGTAACGGGCCGGCTTGGGGTCAAAGGCAGCAAGTTTCATGCCCTTGTTCCTTCCCCAGTTTCCGTATGCAACTGGCTCGCCCCAGCTCTCCTTGTCCGTACTGACGTAGATGCGGTGATCGGAAATCTGGCCGCGGCTGACCGATTCGTTCAAGCGAGGAAGCATAGTTAGACCGCTGACGTTCAGCTCAGCGCCCAGATCGGCGACAATCCAGGGAGCTCCTTCCTCTTTGCAGTCGCTGTGCCAGTAGGTGTCGCTCCAGCCGTCGATTGCGCGCTGGCACTTGTGATCCTCATGCTCGCTGGAGCAGAAGACATTGTAGCTCTTGCGATCAAGGAGAGTAGAGTTGACAGGAGGTGATTGCCATTCAATTTTGCCCGTAACTCTGTCGCCGGTATCAGGGCGGTCATCATCGGTAGATTTATAGGAAAATTCGGCAGGCATGTAGGCGCCAACAGTGGCAGCCCCGAGGATAAGTCCCGATGCCCATTGGAATTTCATTTTGAAGGCAATGGTTGACCTAGAATCAAGTGAGTCCGGCACTGCCTATAAATATCGAGTTAAGGTACCAACCTCGACGCCCGTCCAAGTAGCTGCCAGCATGTTGAATGTCGGTGGCTTACTGAGAGTGGAGCATGGTTCGCCGACCTCCACATCGTAGGATCGTCTTTCAGCCTACGCCATGTCCTTCTTTTTCAGCTCTGTCGTCACCGGTCGCACTAGTCTTAATACCATCTCCAGCCAGCTAACTTTGTGGTGTTCATCATTGCCACTTCGGGACACGACTGCATCCCTAACAGACGCTTCTCTGCTTGGTGACGCAAACCATATCCTTTGTCGAGACTCAGCCATATATATTGGCTATCTGCAATCGACTCCGACAAGATGAAACTCTCCGTGTCTTGGTGTGTATGTCGCTAGTTCGACGACTGTGCTAGCCATTGTGTGGGTTGATATCGGCTGCCGAATACAAGACGAATCGTCACAACCTAGGTCATCACGTTCATTAGGAACACGCACCAAGGAACACCCAGAACAGACCCAAGATCCAGCGAGTCGGCAAATCTGGCTCACCTGGATCTCGGCGATCCGCAATATAAATTGCAATCAGCGTAGCTGCATATTATGCATAGTACTACGTACAATCCTCGTGGGGGCTCGCTTCATGAAGCGGCAACTAGGCGACGCGATACCATGTAGGATCTGAGCGTACATAGTATACGATGCAAGTTATTGCAACGTCTAAAAGGTTGTGAGTGATCAGCCACGGCCCATTGGGCGCCCCAGCTCGTGTAGAGCAGTTGGTCTGTGATAGATCGATAGACCACCATTCAGCTCTGAAGAAATCGCGCAGTTGGTACCTACAAACAAGTTTGTGTGCCCAATCGAGCTTTCCAGTGGAGAGGGTAGCATCCGCTGAGGTCCCTTCTAGCGCACCCTCGGATACCAGCTGAACAATTGCGGTGGCAACAATGGGCCATAGTCAATGGTATTGTGGGTCTTCAGGATCTCGGTAGATTCATAAAAGCGGGTAAGAATCCACCGACACATGTATGATTGTCCAGCTGTCCGGCATGGTGGGCCAAGAATCCGCCTATGATATTCTGCTTATTACGGAGGGCGACGTACAATGATGTTGAGGTTATGGTGAAGCCACATTCGTGCAATAGTATGGAGATAGACGGCGGCTGAACTGAATACAGATAGGTACACGGAATACTCAGCTCGAATACTTTGTATATCATTGGTCATCAATCTCGTAGCATATTGTCAATCACAAAGTAATAGGGTGCCATAAAAGGTCTTGCTGTTCGCTTCCCCAGTGGACCAGAATCTACCAGATTTCTTCTTACGTTACTATACGATACTATCATATCAGAAACAAGATGGCCAACGAAAAAGACCAATGCCCGATCGACAAAACCAATATCCAGGGCAGTATCTGGCCTCGTCTGCCAAAGTATTATGAATCCTACCTCTTCTACAAGATCACAAAGCCGGCGGAGTTCCTAAAGCACCTCAAACCCTTCATTGACTCCATTACCACCGGTAAACAATGCGAGGATCTTCTGGGCGAGATCAAGAAGCTCAAGGATGAGAAGATCGAGAAGCTCGAGAAGCTCGAGATGTTCGAGCAGTTCATGGGGGTCGATAAAAATCATATCAAGAAGCTCAAGAAGACCAGGGACATGAGGGATCTCCTCGACGAACTCATTGCCTTCGGGGCTGTTAACATCGCCTTCAGTCAGAAGGGTATGGAGAAGGTTTGTCTTCACTTCGCCCATTTAGCTACCTTGGCGATGAGTTTGCTAACGCCTTAAAGCTGAACCAAGAACATCTCAACGATGACATGTTCCGAAAGGGCATGTACACTGATCTCATTCTCGAGGGTGCCGATGACCCGGAACGCTTGCTCCCTGAGTTCAAGCCCCCGCCTGAACACAAAGAGACAGATGGCGATGACTGGAGAGTTGACCTGGTCTTCATTGTCGCCGCTGAGAGCGAAAAATCACTTAATATGAAGATCGCTGATCTGGAGACTGCTTTCCACATCAGAGACCAGAACAACACCGGCCTTGAATTGGTCGTGGCTAAGCACGGACAGCGTCGGCCTGGTGGCGACCGTGGCAAGGAGCAGTAAGTTAGCCAGGTTTAACCTGAATGTTACGGATAGAGCTAAGTGTGTAGCTTCGGTTTTGAGGATCACATCTCCCAGCCTCAAATCAAGGGCTTGGACCCTGATCCCAAGGAGGGTGAGCCTCTTGCGTGTCCTCCAGGGTAAGTATACCAATTTCCTTCAACAAGCCGGACTTGCTAACTTGATTAGATACATTTTTATTGGCCACGAGGGTGACCCGAAGATCAGTAAAAACCCAGATTGGTCCAAGGATGGCAGTTATCTAGTTTTCCGCCAACTTGACCAGAAGGTTCCTGAATTCGAAAAGTATGCCATCCATTGTTTTCTGTTCTCTGGCAAGATATGAAACTGACGTGCCCAGTTTTGTCGCAGAGAAATCCAGGACTATACCTAACTATGATAAAGGGGACGATGGTAAAAAGCTAGCTGCTCACATGATGGGTCGATGGAAGAGCGGTGCGTATTGTATATTAATATTGTTATGGAAATATGCTAATATACTGCAGGAGCCCCTGTCGCTCTGACCCCCGATACCGACAACGAGGCCCTTGCATTCAGAAACGACTTCGACTACCGACCCAAACAAAGCATGTTGGGCTGCCCCTTTGCCGCCCACACTCGCAAGGTGCGCCCTAGGGCCGACCACAAGCCCGACATTGGAACGGAGCAGGACCCCGTCGCTGGAAAGTTCACAGAGCCAGTGAATGGAAAGGTGGAAGCCGTCGGCGTAGAGTATGACAGCGACGATGAGCCTGATCAAAAACCAGCCGAGGAAGACGCCAGCGTCATCCTCCGTCGTGGTATCACCTTCGGTCCTGAAGTTGGCGAAGACGAGAAGAAGGGTACCATCAGAGACCGCGGTATTTACTTCACTTGCTACCAGAGTGACATCCGTGATGGATTCAACATTATCATGATTCGTAAGGCCCCTTCCCCCCTTCCCCCCTTCTTCCATTTCATTGCTATGTATTGCATGAAACTAACAGTTACCAGGCTGGGCAAGCAACAGCGTCTTCCCCACCTCGAAGGAAAAGACCTATCCCGATGAATTCGATTTGAATAGCAAGACACTGGAAGAAAAGGAAGAAAATGGAGAACAAATGGGACCCGGCATGGATCCTTTTATTAACCAGAGACTGGGAAAGAAACACAAAACTGGTCATATCAGCCTGTACGGTGGGAAAAAAACCGAAGAGGAGGAGGAACCCAAAAAAACCACTCCGCTCGATCTTGGTGTGAGTCGCTGGGTTGACCAGAGAGGTGGTGAATACTTCTTCACACCATCTATCGAGGCGTTACACCATTTCACTGCAAATTTTTAGATGCTTTTTTATGTTATGTTTGGTTTCTATTGATAGTATACGGTGTGGATACGACACGACTATTTTGACTATGCGAAATCATCACGACCCATTTGGTCATTTGGTATTCTAGACATTGATGTATGCATAATTCTCTTCCCTTGGCTATTGAGCGGTTCAGCTTGATGGTAAGCAAAATACCAATAAGATAAGTTGCGGCCAATGAGCATGACATTCAGTCTCATTTCATGTCCGTAAATCAGGGCAAATCAAAATAAGGACAGACCGGGGGATCAGCATAATAACCACACTCTAACCGTTCAATTAATCTGCACCGGGACCGTTCCTCCCTGTCAGAGGCATTATGGATAATGGCCGCGCCTATAACTATCACTTGCTTCCTCGAGTATCGTGTATAGAACCCACACACCACCTCCCACCGGCCAATCCACTTTGATATTAATATCCGTATCTTTCGGACCCTCGAGCTCCTTAAGACCTTTGTCGTACATGTCTTCCCACCAAGTGGGAGGAAAACAACCAATGATCAGCCCCTACATAGCAGCTAGTGGATCAGAAGGATTTCAATCCTTTGAAATTGCGCGGTGCTGTGTAATATGGGGTGGTGAACTCACCCTCTCTAGTTATAGTGCACTCACCCAGGCTCACCCCTGGTCGTGCGACCAAAAGGCGGCATCACCCTCTAACTTAACCGGGAGACATCCACCGAACTATTGACCAAAGTTAAGCCACACGCCGGCCGGTTAATAGTTGGGTGGGTGACCACCAGCGAATCCCGGCTGTTGTATGTTTTTGTGTTTTTGTGTTTTTTTTTTTTTTTTTTTTTTTTTTTTTTTTTTATCTTCCCGGAGTCTCGGCGTAATGCCAGTAAAATCAGACAGCCTCGGTAATCTCTTCCATATCTCCACTGTAAACATCTGGCTAGCCTATCTACAGCTCGCTATGCCGGAGGGTTTGACCCAGCTACTATATGGCTTAATGCCGGATTTCAAAACCAAAAAAAGCCCAAACCGTGCCGCTGATGGGGAGTACAGTTGACCCCCGGGGACAGGCATAGGCATGAAAAGAGAGTGCTAGTCAGCGTAATGAGCCATAGGTCAAGGCCTGCGTATTATATTTGAATTGCCTCTAGCTAACGAATGACTTGGCCATGGCATAAGATATGAATGACCAGGATATTGAATACAACAAACAGCAACTCGTTTCCAGATATAGACGAGTAGAAGAAAATGGCAAATGCTCAACCCGCCGAATGATTAGACAATAATTTTTTTATTGCAGTCTAATCACACGCCATGTCATTCCCTTCACCCAGTTTCTGGGAATGCGCTCACTTGCACGATCCTTGAGCCTCATCAGAAGTTTGCTAGACGCATTACGCATTAGTTCCAATTGGATCAAATTCTTTGCTTTTAACACAACATACCACACATAGTCCTGATTCACAAGTTCCCAGGCTTCCATCTTGCTTGCATGGCGCGTTTGCAGGAAGCTGATCACCCATTAGTAAAGTGTGTGTATATTTATTGTTATCTTAATCGCACCTTGGCTTGAGCGAAAGCGGTCCCAATCAGGAAGACGGTGGAAATTAAGGAGAATCGCATGTTGAAAGAGGGTTTGAGAGTGTATTGAGAAAATTGCTTTCGAAATGTTTCTTAAGTTGTGGTCAGGTACAGTTTCTTCATCGAGGATGTTAGATTGAATTTATATTCTTGATTCTCTACGATCCAACTGTTTCTAGAGCTTGATCAGGCAATTAATTTCCCTTCTATCCCGAGTGAAAGTAGCAACATAGGCGATTGACTTCATGACTCCTCGAGTAGTCAATATCAGATAGAGTTGGATACTATTACTCCGTATCGGCATAGGAATTCCGAGACTAGCGGCAGTATGCCGACTAAATTTAGCCGGCAAGGCTAAGTTTGCCTCGTTTGCACAACCATGAACCGTGCCCTACCGTAGTAACAAGTTGTATAAATAATCTTCTACAGTAACAATCCATAATAATAATCCTACCATCGAATCATTATATACTCTCGCAACAGCAGCCTTCTCCCACAATGACATCCGTCACGATCACCACCCCAGCAACAGCAACCTCAACGACCTGCGGCGGCGCAGGGCAGTACGAACTCCCAGTCAAAGATGCTGCCTGCGGCGTCCCAAATATCAAAAACTACCAGTCCCTCTTTGATAACTGCACGAAGCCAGCTGGTTCCCGACCATACTACCACGACTGTGCCCTGTGGGGCCTGGCCGTCGACCAGTCTGTCCAGGACCTCACCGACTGCCTTTACGAAGCTGGTGTCGCTTGGGAAGATGTCTGGTGCCATGGCGATACCAACAAAACCGCTACGGCGACGTCTTATCCTACTCCGACTGCTACGAGTACATCTACTTCAACTGGGAAAGAGAGCGGCGCATCTTCAACCTCGTCCTCGACAACCGAGACAAATATGGCTCTCTCATCACAAGGCCAGATTCCGACTAAGGTTGCCTTGGGACTACTGGGACTTTTCTTGACCGGTGTTTTTGTTTGAGTGTAAGGGATGGATGGGTGGAGATGGGAAAGTGGTGCACTTGGTTGGAAGCAGAAGTAAATTATTGGCTATGATTCCTTTTTTTTTCTTTCTTGTATATTAGCCCATTTTAATATTAATATGTTTGATTATCCTCTCAACCAGTTCAGACCTTTTAGATGATACCAAGTATGCTCTTCCAACATGATGTGGAATAGTTAAATCAAGACCGGTGAGGTGTTAAGGCGAGCACACGTATACCAATTAGGATAAGCATTCGCTAGTGTGTAAGATAGTCAAGGAAATTCATGCATTCCTCATTGTTAAATTGGATGCCTGTCTTCTAACCCCATTTCCATACTATGGCCTCGTATTTTCCATGAAAATAGACTCCCTGCACCAATCCTGAGTTCATGCCTGTCTCCACGTTTACAAGAAAGGTATTTTATGTAGGTCGCCCCTCAACGTCGAGGCACGATAGGGAGTCACATTAACCAGTAGCTAATCAAATATCGTAACCTTTAGGTTATAGCTTTTCGAACTTCAAACCCTTGTCGTCTGGTGTGGGTGTCGGATTTTCAATGGAGAATGAAGCGGGCGACAGAATATAAGCTGTGAACTGAAAGTCAAATATCCTCAACTAAGGCAAGCATCAGCTTCTGCGATTATAGGGCTCACACACTCCAGAGATAATGACCTACGTTGCTCCTGCCGAATTCAATCCCAAGCCGTATCTCAAGCTTGTAGCTCCGGCTAATATTACACGTTTCAAATGTCGGAGTCAGATGTAGTGGTACACAATGCTGACTCCATAGACTGTCGTCGAAGCTCAATGTCGATCCGACCATGGCATTTGGTTTATGTTCCACGCGCGTCATCGTCTGTATGACACAGGAACGGGTATGAGCTTCCATCGAACCTCGCGCTCGTACCTCTGTTGTTTCGATAAGCATGGACTGAAAATTGCGTAGAAACACACCACTTTTGCACTCGTCCAAATCCAAGTTAATAACATCCACATTTAATGAGATTGGATGCCCCAGCAGAAGGAACGGCCCGTTCAACAACTTGGCCTCTATTTCACAGGTCAGCGGTGAAAGCGAGGAATCGGAACCACCCGAGCTGCAAATGACTGCCTTTTTGCCTGCCAAACTAGGTAGAAGGTGACTGATGGTAGATACATGGCGGAAATATATGTCGCGGGTCTAGTTCATCAATGTTAAGACTGATCACGCTCGGCCCTCAGGTGCGGAATACTCAACGGCTTTTTGAGTCCTACATAGGATACCATCCTGTCGGACAGTCGCTTCGAGGAAATACTTGATCTCCTCAGGTGTGGATTTACCACCGGATGAAGGCGGAAGTTTTCGCAATAGATGGTGTGTCCGCCTGCCTGCTGGTCGTTTGCCAGAGACTTGTGTAGGGCTGGCCTTGTAGCATTCCGAAACCTGGGGGAACTACATGATGCCCGGATTTAGTGAGTGGATCGTATATCTTATTGAGATGCAAGGCAGAAAGTCAACCACTCACCCTGATCGAAAATGGAAAAGCATGTTCTCCCGGAGAGATAGTCACCTTGCGAGACGTGAACCAACTCGCGCACTGACTTGGAGGGAATACTTGTTCGTTCCTTTCAAAAAGCTGCATCGCATTTGATCAGCTCCCTGACAATGGATAGAGGGGAGTAGAGAGCATACCTGATGCGATTGAGTTAGCTTTCCTGAGTTCAGCCTTGATGTTGCTGACCCAGAGAGCTTTATTATTATAGCGGTCATGTCCAATTGTGCGCCATTGCTGAGGATGACATGACCAGATACAACATCTTCATTCGTATAGGTAGGTTGCTCTCTGTCAAGGTGTATCCAGATATCCATATTAGATTGTGATTTAAAGAAACGCTCCACCTGGGACGGCATGAAGGGAAGATAATAATGACAAGGGATTGATCTAGCGAAATTTCACTCAAACATGGAGTCAAATATAAAGAAAAAGAGCTGGTAGCATCATGCTCAAATGACAGATGGATGGCAAAATATTAACCCAAAATAGTAACAATATTCATACTCGGTTTATTCGTGTAAAAAACGGGTTCTCTTTGACTTAAAGGCTCGCCCATAAACGCTACACGATATTTGAAACTTGCCCAATGTAAGAATGGGCTTTTGGATGGTTACAAAATCATGGATTACCGACTATAATTGACATCCTTCAGGCAGTCCGTAATTGGCTCGGCATAAGGGTGGGTACCCTAACATCGAATCAAAATAATATTCGGGCATTTGTTCTCCACAAGAAGGCTATCTAACCTCTGCTTCTAGAACGGGGTACATAGTATGGTCCCGAGATAGGTTAGTGGAAGTGTCCGGGGCGCCATTGGATAGACATAAAAATTCCAACTCACAGCTAGTGACTTCCAGCTTTCCAGTTCACCGTTAACTACTCCGCGTTCCTATGATCCGTTTATGAAATATTAGCAGAACAAGGACGCCATGGAATATGCCCACGATGAATCTTTTCCACCTCCTCCCTTGATGGCAGGTAATCACTATTCACTTCGGGAGCTTACGCCTGCCATTGTGAGTTTTCTTTCGGAGGAGGCATGTTTTCGAAGCAACTAAGCTGACATATTGCTAGCCCGAGCGTCACAGCATCGACGAGAATGATGATCTTGCGGAAATGCTGCTACCTCCGCGCCCTGACGACCTTGACACTTCTTCCAGCCTGCCATGGCACTCTGATGAGACTCCACGACAAAGTTCTTCAGAAGTCCCGTCCAGCTTTGAGCCTCCGAGCACCAGCTCCTGGCAACAACGCCAGACTGCGCCTACATCTGGAGGTCTGCGCCGGCACCCAACTCGCAGAATCAATTTGATCCAGGGCTCTGTATTAAGTGTCGACTATCCCGTTCCAAGCGCTATCCGCAACGCAGTCGAATCGAAATATTATGATCCCAGCGGATCAAGCCCGGAAGAGTTCACACATCTAAGATGTAAGAGATCAGACAAAAAGGAAAGCCCTTCGAAATGGATACTGATTGACGCTACGCATTAGATACGGCTGCGACCTGCGACCCAGATGACTTCAACTTACGCAACGGCTACAATCTACGGTCTGCCATGTATAATCGACATACCGAATTACTCATCGCCATCACCTATTACAACGAAGACAAAGTTCTCACTGCTCGAACTCTACATGGAGTTATGCAAAACATACGAGACATTGTCAACCTTAAGAAAACCGAGTTTTGGAACAAAGGGGGCCCTGCCTGGCAGAAAATTGTGGTTTGTTTGGTTTTTGATGGAATTGGTCCTTGTGATAAAGATACACTTGATGTTCTAGCTACTGTTGGGATCTACCAGGATGGCATAATGAAGCATGATGTTGATGGCAAGGAAACTACGGCACACATAGTTCGTATTATTTCCTGATATCTATGTGACTCATTGTGACTGACTCTTGATGTCTTAGTTTGAATATACCACGCAATTATCGGTCACTCCTACACAGCAATTAGTCCGTCCTCAGCATGATGATCCAAATAATCTCCCACCAGTCCAGATGATCTTTTGCCTGAAACAAAACAATACCAAGAAGATCAATTCACACCGCTGGTTGTTTAATGCCTTTGGGCGGATCTTGAACCCAGAGGTGTGTATATTGATTGATGCAGGTACAAAACCAGGCCACAAATCCTTGCTTGCTTTATGGGAAGCGTTCCATAATGACAGAAACCTTGGTGGTGCATGCGGTGAGATCCATGCCCTACTTGGCCGACACTGGAAAATGCTTGCAAATCCATTGGTTGCTGCGCAGAACTTTGAATATAAGATTTCAAATATCCTGGATAAGCCTTTTGAGAGTATGTTTGGATATGTTAGTGTCTTACCTGGTGCATTTTCTGCTTACCGTTACCGTGCCATCATGGGTCGACCTCTAGAACAGTATTTCCATGGTGATCATACACTGTCGAAAAGGTTGGGCAAGAAGGGCATTGAAGGGATGAATATTTTCAAAAAGAACATGTTCTTAGCCGAGGACCGCATTTTGTGCTTTGAGCTTCTTGCGAAAGCGGGATTCAAATGGACATTGAGTTATGTGAAAGCTTCTAAAGGAGAGACTGATGTCCCGGAAGGTAAGCTATGACTCTCCACGCGAGTATCTTCAAGATGTTAATGAATACGCCAACAGCTTTGCCAGAGTTCCTAGGCCAAAGACGAAGATGGCTAAATGGATCATTTGCCGCAAGCTTGTATTCTATCATGCACTTCAACCGTGTGTACAAAAGTGGCCATAATTTCGTTCGATTGTTCTTCCTCCATATTCAGTTACTTTATAATGTCTGTCAGCTCACTATGACATGGTTCTCTCTCGGTATGTCTCCCTTCGATTGCCTGGCGAACAGTAACTTATATATGTTAGCATCCTACTGGTTGACCACCTCCGTGATCATGGACATTGTCGGAACACCAAGTGCGACAAATAAGAACCAAGCCTGGCCTTTTGGAAATGAATCGTCGCCAATCGCCAACAATGTCCTCAAGGTTCTGTATTTGGTGTTTCTCATGCAGCAATTCTTCCTTGCCCTCGGAAATCGACCTAAAGGGTAGGTGCTCGATTGCCTCCTGATGCTAGCCCATCGACTAACAGCACCTTGTCTAGATCCCAGCTTGCCTACTTTCTATCCTTTCTCTATTTTTCCATTGTCCAACTATATATCTTACTTCTCTCGTTCTACCTCGTGGCACAGGCATTTAGTGGCGGCAACATAGACCTCGATTTTGATAACGGGGTGGGAGGATTCCTAGGCTCGTTTTTCACTTCGACCACAGGCCTGGTGCTAGTAGCCCTGGTATCGACATACGGGACCTACTTCATAGCGAGTTTTCTCTACTGCGACCCTTGGCACTTATTGACATCTTCCTGGGCATACTTCATTGGAATGCCCTCGACAATCAACATCCTCAACGTCTACGCCTTTTGCAACTGGCACGATGTTTCATGGGGAACTAAGGGTTCCAACGAGGCGGCTTCTCTCCCATCAGCCCAAACACAGAAATCAGACGCCAAGGGGAAGAAATTCGTTGAGGAGCTGGACAAAGCACAGGTGGACATCGATACAGAATTCGAGCGCACCGTCCGACGCGCTCTTGCCCCATGGCAGGAACCGATAGAGACAAAGGATGTGCAACTGGATGATTCATATAGGGCATTCCGAACAAATCTGGTGCTCTTGTGGACTTTGAGCAACTCCTTGTTAGCATTGCTCATAAACAACGCTAGTGTGAGGAATCTATGTTTAACGGTATGTTCGTCTTCCCTCCTCGCCCGACTGTGATTCTGTGTTGACAACGTTGCCAGACCTCATCGACCGATCGCACAGCTTGGTATTTCAAGGTGATTCTGTGGGCTACGTCGGGATTGTCGATTTTCCGATTCCTGGGTGCTCTTTGCTTTCTAGGGAAGACGGGATTGTTGAATTGTCTCTCCCGACGCTGACCGCTGCTCAGCTGCTATCATGCGACCTAGCTGATATTCTACCAGTGAAGCTCCGCACTACAATAGTTTGTACTAATACCAATTTCTGTCATTCCATCGATTCATCGATAGTACTTAGTTAGATAGTTCCATATGTCTCGGCATTCGGGGCCCTCGGAACGGGGAAAGAAGGTTAAAAATAGAATCTTCTAAGGCCAGAAACTTTCATTATTGGCCGGCCTTATTTGACATGGCGCAGACTTTTCCACTCCGAGGCTTGGCGTTTACTTTCTATTTTTGTTTCCATCTTAGCGCGGATACACCGTTTAACATCAGTCCAGCGGCTATAAGAGATCGTTCGAAATGAAGAAGAGCATCAGGTAGTTGAATGAAGGCCTCTGGCTCACGATCTTGACACATCAATCTCCGTGAACGGCTGTCCGCTGAAATGTTGCGGTCTCGGGCGGTATGCGATCCGTCCCTAGTAATGACTTTGAGATCTGGACCTTTCTAATTTCAACTCCAGTGTGACTCGTGCCATTCTCGAAAGGTATGAACTCGTCATCTCGAACTATGCTTCCTCCTGAACATCGATCGCCGTTTTCCGGGAGAATACATGCTTACGTTACTCCGCGCCACCATATCTCGTTAACTAACGGCTTAGCCAGGTTCGATGCGACGGCGATGATCCCTGTGGAAACTGCCTGGACCAAAAATCCACTTGCACTCGGGCCCGGAATATGAAGCGACTCCCGAAGAGAAACCTTGCTCAGATGCAGAGAAGGGCGCGCCAACATCAAGCTGACGAAGCTCTTGTCGTCCAGCCCTTGGCCACATCCTGTGGGTCACTACAAAGCCTTGCTGAACAGTCAAGCGACTCTTCTATTTCCACCGTACTTCCTCATCAGATAGAAGACGGGTTTTTAGTGGATATCCTAGAAGATAGATCATCTATGCTCTTGGAACATCTCGATATGAACTATGGGCCCCCAAGCTGGATGTCATTTGTTCCTCTAACGGACGATCAGATGGCTACCCGGCATCAAGTGGGACATTCGCAGGGTCTTGCTTGGAACAGGCACCAAGCACTGCAGTCTGCATTATCTGTTGCAAGCCAGCTTTTAGGCGGTATGGATAAATGCACGGAAACGGCTGGGGAAACAGCAAATAATGAAGAACAGCACAATGTTCCCTCTCTTGAATTTTTATACTGGATGTTGAACGGTATAGTAGATCCTTATCGGCCTTCCCTCCTATGGCCAGAAACATACTCATTTGTACCTTTTAAACAGACCTTTGCAGTGACAAGTTTGGCTCCTTTGTTTTGGACTTTTTCAGGCACATTGGCAAACATACTCTCAAGTATATGGGGTTATCCATTATATTTAATACTACC